CGGCCTTTCGGGAAACAGTTCCTGAAATACGGCCCACGTGGCGCAGGTGGTTTCCCAGTCCTTCTGATCTGTGCGCATGTGGCCCACACGACAGCTTGCTGCCGTGCTGGGACCAAAAAAGATTCTGTCCGCGTCAGGTGCCATGGGATCTGCATTTTGCTTTCCCACGACACGTCAGCAAATTGTCGGAAGTGACCATCTGGATACCATCAAGGGGCCAGCATGGCGAGTTTTGTGTGGTGGCACACTGCTGAAAGCCGAGGCATCTCCCCGAACCACACGTCGAGTGGCTCGGACTCAACTGAGGTGGCAACCTCGTTGCCGCTAGCTAGGTGTTCGCCTGCGTCGTTGCAACGTTACCTGGTACTTTGATGCTATTGTTACCAAATCAAAGGCCTTGAAAATATACTAGCCTTCAACCAGAATGCCAACCTGTGTTATGCCAACCTATCAACAGTTTCTTTGGTTGTGCTGTCTGAAAGCATTGCTTCGCATGGTAGTAGCATTACAGATCCATGTACAGTGGGGTTTAATACAGTAGGGTTATCTCTCTGCTGGCTGCAAGCTGCATTTTGTAGAAAGTGGCACCTAGGCCTAGTGGCTCTACCAATACAGGGTGCTACCTTCGCCTCCCTCTCTCCTGCCGTTTTTGCTCTTGCAGCTGCTTCTTCAAAGCAACAAGTGCTCTACTCGTTTCACTACTGCCAAGAGCACCTGAAAATCCCTGGGAAACTGACCCAACAATTGCTCCATTCCCCAGCTTTACATGTTCCTGTTGCAATGCTTTACCAGGCCTCTGTTTCTGCTTCTGCATCCCCTTCTCGTTGTTTTGGCCTTTGTTCTGTGGCTGCTGATCCTTGTCCGGATCTATTAGTTCTTGGCTTGCAGTGTGCTTCTGCTTCTGCTTATTCTGCTTCTGCTGCTTTTTTCGGAGATGTTGCAGCATCTGCTCATCTCGTGCACTCCGGGCAAGCGCGTGGCTTGAGCCATTCTCTTGACTGGTGCTGCCATTTGCAACACCTTCCACCCGTTGTCTGCTGCTGCTGCTACTATTGCCTGATCCACTGCTCTGGCTTACCCTGCTGCTGTTGCTGCTGCTGATTTCACTGCTCTTGTTGTCGTTGCTGCTGCTGTGTCTACTGATTCCTCCGACATCTGCAGAAGCTGCTGAAAGCGAAGAAGCCCCGCCAGCCCCCTCTGCCCCTTGTGGTGTTGCCAGCTGCGCCTGCAGCTGCTCTCGCAAGCTCAATGAGTGTGGGGAGGCTTCCTGTGCTGCGCCGTGGGCTTTTTTGCTTCTGGTGGAGTGCTTGGTGGGACTGGGTGAGCTGCTGCTGTGACTGGAGGGCTGTGGGGAGGTAGATGAAGAATTGTTCAAGGAGGATGAGGAGGAGAAAGAGGAGGTGGAAGAGGAGGAGGAGGAGGGAGAGGAGAGAGTGGTGCCTGTTGCGGTCTTATCATACTTCACCTGGAATTATGCATGAGGAAGAAAAGGGAGCAGAGAGAAAGGGAGATGCTTAGGTGTGTGAGAGCTGTCTGATATACCGTCACACTTAAGTTGGAGCTAGAAGACCCTGACGACGGGTCGCCTGAGGGAGCTGTAGCTGAATGGTAGGGGTACTACTCATAATGTCCTCGAAATAATAGGGGTATTGCTCACAATGTACTTGAGGTAGTACGAGTCATCCTCCGCATGGCTTAGTTGGAGTATACGCTCGAATCTTTTTGCGTTTTGAGTTTATACGCGCTAAAAAAACGACCGCTGCGTTTTTGGTGTGGAAACGTAGAAAAACGCTCGGGCAGCCCGGGAAAAAAATCAGAAGTTGGGTTTGAGCTAGCGACATGGCGAACTGAAAATTAGGGCATCGCACATTCGAGATCCCAACTTCGAAATTGAATTTCGAAGCAGATCCACAACAACCCATTGTTTGGACCATTGCGCAACCCACTCCACCCCATTCAATCCCAATTCCTTCCACTCAAATTCGAGTGGAGGAGTTGGATTCAACCAGACTCATCTCTAGCAGAAATGCGGCTCTAATTCTCCGTTCGATGTTCATCGTTTGGATTTTTTTACCTCGTTTTTACCTACCTCGTTCGTATCGACGAGTATGACTAGACTGCGGGCACCAACTTCGTGCTTTGCACCTCGCGCATCCCCCCCTCTTAACCTAACAAACTGCCCGGCCAAAAAAAATATGTGCCCGGGCCTGCGTTTTCACTGCGTACCGGACCCCTCCCAAGAAGCGTTCGGCGTTTATACGCTAGCGGATAAACGCTAGCGTATGAAACGCGAAACGCGTATACTCCAACTAAGCCGCATGGCCAGAAGCCCCTGAAGAGTCTCCTGAGGAAGCTGATGCTGAATAGTAGGTGTGGTACTCACAATGTACTTAGAATAGTAGGGGTATTACTCACAATGTACTTGAGGTAGTAAGGGTCATCTTCTGCCACTGATCTCCGCATGGCCAGAAGTCCCTGAAGAGTCTCCTGAGGGAGCTGATGCTCCAGCAGACTGCGCTTGTACGTGCTGGTGGGTCAAAAGGTCGGGTACAAGAGAGGGCGGGAGGGGGATGGGAGAGGAACGAAATGGTGTTAAATGCACTGAACTGAAGAGTCTCCTTAGGGAGCTGATGCTCCAGCAGACTGCGCTTGTATGTGCTGGAGGGACAAAGGGGACCGTTGTTAGGCGGGGAACGGGAACAGGTTAGTGAAGCAGAGGAAAGCCCCTGAAGAGTCTCCTGTGGGAGCTGATGCTTGTGGGAGCTGATGCTCCAGCAGACTGCTCTTGTACGTGCTGAAGATGGGGAGGGACGAGGTCAGGGATAGAGAGGGAACGGATTAGCGGCGCAGAGGGAAGGGAAAGCCCTGAAGAGTCGCCTGAGGGGGCTGATGCTCCAGCAAACTGCACTTGTATGTGCTGTTATGGTGAGAAGGGAAGGTATAAAAAAGTTGGACGAGACGGGAGAGATTCAAAAGGGGTTGGAGGAGGAGAATGCACTGTTTTGACTGCGGGAGCTGATTCTCTGCGCAAGTAGGTGCTGTGGGCAAGAAGGGAAAGGGGGATAGGGGGTTGGGGGGAATCACAAGCAGAAAAGGAAGGAAGGGGCGAAGGGCAGAAGGAACTGCTATGAAGCGTGAAGGAGCTCAGGAGGGATAGGAGAGGGAGAGGAAGGACAGGAAGGAGAGGAAGGGGGAGTCTACAGCAGGGGAGAAAAGGGAGGAGATGAGGACACATACTCTGTACTCTGCAGGGCTTCGTTTGGATCCCTACGAGCGTCCTTCAGCCGCCTTTGAGGTGCGTCAGGTATTGAAGTCTCAGGTCTTAATGTGCTGAGAAAGAGAGGGGTATATGTACTCTGTACTCTGTAGGGCTTCGTTTGGATCCCTACAAGCATCCCTCAGCTGCCTTTGAGGGACCTAAAATATCGTCCCAGGTTTTGCCTTGAAGTGCTTCATAAAGATGGAAGTATACATACTCTGTACTCTGTAGGGCTTCGTTTGGATCCCTACGAGCGTCCCTCAGCTGCCATAAGGAAGGGGGCAGAGGAGGACAACGGGAGAGAAGTTCACAGGAGGAGTCACAGGAGGAAAAGACAAAAGTATGGAAGGTGGTGAACGCAGAAAGTAAGATAAAAGTGCATTCCGTGGGCACATGGCAAGAGCAGAGGAACAGGGATGCTTTGACTAAACCCTTGGGACGAGAGAAGCAGCACAACACTCTGCCGAGTACATGTAACTCTTACATGTAGTGAGTCGTGTTTTGAGTCGACTCAAAACAAGTAACTCTTACATGTACTTGAAGCAGCACCAGAGAATGCTTTGACACCTGGACTACACGAATAGCTTCATAAAAGCAACTCCACGTGGATTACAATGGTAATCACCACACAATCTACATGAACTGCTTTTTGTGAAGCATGCTCTGATGATTCTTCTTAGCAAGGAGAGCATGAAGGTGAGAATTCTCTAGCCGGCTTAGCTTGACTCGATAACCAAGCATGCCTCTTGTATGCAAACAGGGTAATTTAAGAGTTGTAATAAACAACCTAAGAAAGGTGAAGCTATATGAATCAAGGATAGGCATACCTCCTTTATGATAAGCAGGTTATTTCTGGGAATTCTGGACAAAGGTGAAGCTATATGCATGAACGTGGGAATACCTACCTCCTGTATAAAAGCGGTTGAGCTCTTGACATAGCCCCCCTGGAAAGATTGCAGCACACAAGGGATTTGCGATAAGAGAGGCGAGGTGGGGTTTGGGGGAGTGGGGGAAGGAGGGGGGGGTTGAGCTCTTGACATAGCCACCATGGAAAAATTGCAGCACACAAGGGTTTGCAGCACGAGGGTGGGGTGTGGGGGAATGCGGGAACGAGATGGGTGGTTGAGCTCTTGACATAGCCACCCAGGAAAAATTGCAGCACACAAGGGATTGCGATAAGTGAAAGTGGGGTTTGGGGGAGTGGGGGAAGGAGCGGGGGGGTGAGCTCTTGACATAACCACCATGGAAAATTGCAGCACACAAGGAATTGCAGCAATCAGGGGTGGGTGGGGGGGGGGACGGGGGGGTAGGCTTTCAGACGTCATTAAAGACTTTTGAGGTCTTGACATAGCCACCCTCAACAGAGCGCTGCACAGGTTGGGGTTATACGAAAGCTTCTGAGGCGCCTCAAAAGTTGGGGTTATACGAAAGCGGGGTATGCATCTGCTTTTGAGTCGACTCAAAATCAGAGAGTTGCACCATAGATAGATTGTGCTATTCGAGAGCGGGGTATGCACCTTGAGACAAGCATAACGAGCTTCATGCGCTCAACTTTACACAGAACCCTGTCCCCGCAACCCCTTTACTCCTAACCCTGTTCCCGTAGAGACCAGGGTGAAGGCAGGGAGTGAGGGGGGGGTTGATGGAGGGTGCCATTACCTATCCTATTCTCCCTTTCTCTCCCACTCCCCCAATTCCCTGCACCCACCATCTCCCCACAACTCCGCCCAGCTCCTCCTAACTACCCCCCACTCCTCACCCTGGAGAGAACAGCCAGTTTCAGCTGAACGTCTGATGTGACCACGGTGATGTAAGGTGCAGTGCGGTGCTGCATGAGACTGGATACCTGGCGAAGTGAGGGAGAGGGAAGAGAACAAGATAAGGGGCGACCGAGACGAGAAGGGAAAGTGAGGAAGAAAGGATGACAAGGGAGTTGGATGTAAGGGTATACAGAGAGTTTCAGCCAAACGGCAGGGACATAGCCAAGGTGTGAGGGTTTGCAGATGCCAAGTGGGTATGGCATGAGCCATGCCATGCCATGCTGCGACATGCCATAACGTAGAGTGGGTTTGCTTGCCTGTTTAATCTGAACCATGTCAACTTCCTTTAAGACGGTTTTGGAGAAACCTAAATAAAATAAGCTTATGCGGATTCATGCACTGACAGAGACTCACAATCACTATTATCACCTAGTTTCTCAATGCATGCTCTCAACACGTGATATCTATCATGCACACAGCGCGTGCATGCAATCGATTTTTTTTTTTTTTTTTTTTTTTCCCTAAACCCTAAGTTCATCCAATCGTGGTGTACTGACCTCCTTCTCGATCCATTCGTCTGCTGAGATGCCATTGGAGAATGCCACGTCCACACTGCCACCTCAGCACATGAAGGACACATCAGCACACTGAAAACTGCAAATGGATGAGGAGATGTTACATCGCTAAGCGCATGTAATGGAATGGCGGGGTTTTTGAGGCAAAACCAGGATGCATGTGGTGAACAGGCAAGGCAGAGTGCGCGAGTCAGCATGGCGCGATGTGATAGGATGTACCTATCGGCACGTAGTCACTGTAAGGGCGTCACGTGCATGGTATAGGATGGGATGGAAATGGGGTGGGGTGGGATGGGACGGGACAGGACGGGACGAGACGGGACGGGACGGGACGGGACGGGACGGGACGGGACGGGATGGGACGGGACGGGATGGTATGGCATGGCATGTCATGTATGCCATGTAATGGAAGGGCATGATTTTTTATGGGCGATGGCATGCTAACGGATGGCATCCGATGGCATTCCCGAGGAGCTATGGTAAAGGAGAGCATGTTATGGATGGAATATGGTAAGCATGCTGGATACAGAAAACATACCCATGCTACCGGATACAGAAAACATACCCATGCTACCGGATACAGAAAACATGCCCATGCTACCGGATACAGAAAAATAAGTACATACCCAAATGATAAGATGCGATCGTTACCAGGGCTGTTCGAATTGTACCCGTCAAAAACCACCAGCACCCGCACATCTGCGCAGTTTGGGATGTGGAGGAGAGAGGGTGGCTTGAAAGTATGTCAGATTTGAGTTCACTCAAATAATTGTTAGATTTTTTTCTGCCCATCAAAGACCGCCAGCATCCGCAAATCTGCACGGGGTAGACTGCGAATAAAGAAGGATGATTCAGAAGTCAGTGGACTCTGAGTCTACTCAAAAGTCAGAAGTGCTGGAGATTTATGCCCTCAGAAAACCTCCACACACACACGGAAACGGGCCCATCGTTTGGGGGTAGGGTAAAACAGCAGTCCCATTGCTCTTGCCTCCTCAGAATCATCCGTTCTGTCAGGTTCGTCATTGTGAACTCGAAGCAGTACCCACCCGCAGCAGCGGCAGCAGCAGCAAAACCTACCAGCGTATCTGGGGTATGGCAGCACTTCCAGCAGTGGCCTCTCCCATGCCTACCAGCGTACCACCTACCCCAAGCAACACCGACCCCAGAAGACACCCACCCGCAGCAAAGACACCTACCAGCGTATCGGGGGTATGGCAGCACTTCCAGCAGCAGCCTCTCTCTCGCCTCCTCTGAGTCGCCTCGCAGAAACAGTAGTTATTCAAGCGCCTCAGATATTTACCCCAAGCAACATCCACCCGCAACAGGACCTACCAGCGTATTGGGGGTAGGGCAGCACTTCCAGCAGCAGCCTCTCTCTCGCTTCCTCTGTATCGCCTCTCAGAAACGGTTCTCCTCCAGGTGCCTACTCAAGAAGCAACCACCCGCAGCAGCAGCAGCGGCAGCAGCAGCAGCACCTACCAGCATATCGGGGGTATGGCAGCACTTCCAGCAGCAGCCTCTCCCATGCCTACCTACCAGCGTACCACCTACCCCAAGCAACACCGACCCCACTCGCCACCCACCCGAAGCAACAGCATCTAGTGCCTACCAGCGTATCTGGGGTAGGGCAGCACTTCCAGCAGCAGCCTCTCTCTCGCCTCCTCTGTATCGCCTCGCAGAAACGGCTTCTTCAGCTTGGGCCAGCTGCCCACCACATTGTATCCGTCCACTAGTACTAACGGTAACACGTCTGTGGAGCTGGGGAGACAAAGGAGTATGCACAGGGCAGTGTGCTGTGAGGTAGGATGAAACGGCTTCTTCAGCTTGGGCCAGCTGCCCACCACGTTGTATCCGTCCACTAAAATCAATGGTAGCGCGTCTGTGGAGCTGGAAGAGGGTGGTGGATGGAGAGTGCGAGGGAGGAGGGTTGCTGCTAGGCATGAGCCCTTCAGCTTGGGCCAACTGCCCACCACATTGTAGCCGTCCACTAGAATCAACGGTAGCGCGTCTGTGGAGCTGGCAGAGGGAGATGGACGGAGAGTGTGAGGGAGGAGAGTTGCAAGGCATGACATGGGCAGGAATTGCCCTTCAGCTTGGGCCAGCTGCCCACCACATTGTATCCGTCCACTAGAATCAACGGTAGCGAGTCTGTGGAGCTGGACGCGGAGGACGGAATAGGGGGGAGGGGGAGGAAAGCTGTGAAGCATGGCCTGGCACGGGCCCTCAGCTTGGCCCAGCTGTTGTGCGCAGTGCCCACCACGTTGTGGCAACCCACCAGCAGCAGCAGAACCAGAGGCAACGCGTTTGTGGAGCTGAGACGGGGAAGGAGCCGCCCCAGATTGAGGCCTAAGGGGGTATGAATCAGCTTTTGAGTCGACTAAAAAATCGGCATGAGAGGGTGCGAACCAGCTTTTTCAGGGTTGCTAACAAACAGCTGCCAAGCGCGTTGTAACCCTGTAACTAAAGATGGTTACGCCTCCCACATATGACTCAGCTCTCTGACGGCGTCTTCTGTAGGACAGGCATGCTAGCAGCTTCGCCAGTTTCTAATACTTCTTTCCAGGGACCGCAGACTATTACTACTTACCTGGTGTGCAGCTGAAACTAAAAAAGAATCTAAAAACTATGTCAGTCCATCGATGTTCTCCCCATGTCCAGAAACTTTCACCGCTATGTTCTCCCCCCCCCCCCCCCGGACGCTCTCACTCACATACTTTCACAATCAGAGTATTCTCCCCTGATGTCGTAGAAATCAACCGGGTGTGCAGCAGATGTGGAAGCCAGCTCAGCACCCCCAGTCTTTCCCACTTTGTGAATTTTGTGTCGACTAAAAGACACCATGCTCAACCCGATGCACTCACATGCTTTCAAAATCGGAGTATTCTCCTCTGATGTCGTAAAAATCAACCGGGTGTGCAGATGCACCAGCCAGCTCCGCACCCCCACTCCCTGCTACCGCTCGTCTCTCCGACTTCGGCAGTTTCTTCCGCCTGAACCTGCTTGGAACCTTCTCGTCCCCATCCTTGCGCTCCGCTGCAAAGGCCTGGAAGAATTGGGGGGATGCAGATGCAACCAGATCCCAATGGCATCGGTGGGAAGGAGGGGGGGGGGGGGGGGGGGGGGAGGGGAAGGGGGGACTTCGCTTCGCAACGAGGGGTAATTTCTTCATCGTTTCTTACCCCCCTACACAGTGGTATTTTCAACCCAATTTGGGGTGAATGTACGAACCTTCAAGAATCCCGCTGTATGAATGCTCGATTGACCAGATTCCCATCCGCATCACCTAAATCTGACTGGGACAACTATATAATCGGGTCTTTTCTTTGGGGTCATTATGTCCCCGCTACAAGACGCACCTTCCAGAATTTCTCGGTCCGTTTGCTTGCTCGAAGTATGTCTTCGTCTTCATCGCTTCCATAATACTTTGTCAGATACTCTTCCACAAGCGGATCCTCACTACCATTGCCTTCTTCCTCAAATGTCTGACGTGTAGCCGCGCGCGAATTTACCTGATGGAAAGGAAAAGGGTAACGAGGATCGGATTGAGGCTCTACAGAAATAATTAGAAAACATTGCATTGCAGGCGGTAGCATAAAGCACGGGGGGAGCTGACCATACCTGTGCTACGGGCTCTCTGTTGACAGGCGTCACGCCTTTCAGAACAGAAAACGGCGAATTCACCGCGCTATTCTTCTCTGTACCATCGGTTCTTCCGTTATTCGTGCTCATCGTAGAATCGCCTCCGAAATGAGAGCCGTGATGCCTCTGTGAGTTGTTCTTCTGCTTCCGCGGACCCGCTCGGACTTGAAAACTATTACCATTAGAGAGTGGTGGTCCGTGACAATGACTCTTATGCACGTATCGGACTTCCTTTAAACGAAGGAAATCCTGCCTACCGTGCAGCTCGGATAGGGCCTTGAGACCCATGTGTGAGTGTGGACTGTATAACACTACTGCCAAGGTAACTTCAGCTGCTTCTACTTTAAAATCTTCTCTTCTATTTGTTGGCAATCGCTGAGGAACGCACAAATTCGCAGTCAGAATTCAGGAATTAACGGGATTCTTGGATTGGTGATTGGCGAGAAAAAACGGACAGTGATCAAGTAGGACTAGGCATTAGAAGAGGGATTGGATAGTCACACGTCAGTCAGCTGACAGCGTCAAAGTAGGGGCGGTTGAAAACGATGGATACGAACTGCTGAAGCCGCCATTGTTGTCCATTCAAGCATCAACTGCCTTTTTCACATGGAGCAATTAAGGCTGGTGCTCACTTTTGCTCAAACCGTACCCGAACGTTTGTAAAATAGATATTACCGTATTGCAGCGCAAAGCAACTTGCTGAAATACCACCGTATTTCGGTTGCTCCCTAACCAATCCATCGGTTCGAGGCTGACTGGAGGGAAAATCAAATTTCCACCTCGGAGCTCATCAACGACTGGTGGAGCCTCGAAACCTCCAGCCCCCGATTTGGGAATGCGGCCAATGCATCCCCAGATTGAACAGCAACATCGAGGTGATGGTGACACGGACAGGCCCCTGATTGGATCACGTGGCGAGGCTTGAAACCACCAGATGCATGTACTCTATAGTAGTCTATCCATGTTATCGTAGCTGCATGTTCTTCTTTCCGACGATACACTAGCGATGACGGATAGTGCGGCAAAATCAGTTTGTTGCTTCATGAAGACTTGTAACAAGATTTGCGCGGACATGGAGAACACTGACACGGTTCAGTACAAAACCCGTCGGTGCTAACCGGTTGGCTGTTGGTGGCACCAAAACCGCAAGCGAAAGTTTCCCTTCGATAACCGTAGCAAGGCTCTACCCCGTTCGTAGATTCCATTCCGGATTCACAAACCGCGTTTTGGATTCTGTAATGCTCGTGACGTTATTCGAAATTGTTGGAGGATGAGTGAGGCAAGGTTTTGCCCCCAACCACCGAACGGTGCTTCTCAAGTGTTCCAAGAAGTTTGGCTTCACTGCAGGCCTCGAGAAGGTGCAGGTTGACTTCGAGAGACTTGCATTTTGGTGCCGCATGGCAGCACAAGAAGAATCGAGACTCAGGGAGAATTCGATTCGGTGAAATTCGAGACTCGAATTTCACCCCTTCGAAATGTTACTCGAACATTCGAGTGTACCGCGGTTCGTGGTTACATGTGCGGTTCGATGTTGATTGCATGCTATAAAACTAGTAGCTTTGTATGCATGTTACATACTGGAAAACGTGAATCACTTTGTACACAGTGCATTCGACAACAAATTCCAGACAGTTTCCAATCCTTCAACATAGAGCATAGCTTTCACGTTAGTAGCCATATCTCTCTCGATACTTAGGTGATCGAGGTGATCTACGGCTCGTTGGAAAGCTAACAGAGTGCTCTACTGATTATAACAATTCCCAGTTCATGCAAAGTAGAGGAGAGTACTATACAACACAACAGAAATTCCATGTAGAATTATTCACGTGTTTCCAAATATCGGAACAGCTCTTGTTTCTGGCGTTCCGATATTCGGAAACACGGCCTTGAAGTTCCTGTCAAGAATCAGCTGGTTAGGGCTCACTGTGGGAAGATAAAAATCGCTCGTTTTTTGGATTGCCTCTGCAGAAAGTGCCGCTGAACCCGAGTAGAACAAGGCACGTACTTGCGATGTATGGCGTATCTAGACATCTCCAAAGCCGTGGTAGTTGATCCACTTACATAATTCCTGAAATATCGGTTTAGGTTTACATGCATTTCCGCGGCAGGAGCGGTATTGTTACCACCAGAGGCGACTCGCAATGCTCGAAGCAACGGACGTTGGAAACACTTACTCGCCTTAAGATGGTTTTTAATGCCACACTATGGGAGCACGATCTAGAATCCTAATCCCTCTCTAGCGGCGGCCTCTGTGAGTTGACTGTTAAACACGGAGGCACAGCGGCAGCGTCCGCCACCTCCGCAGCCCTGTCCCCTTCGACGTCCTGAAGTAACCGCAGCGGCTACTGTAGATTTACCGCTAATCGCGGCGCCGCCCTGAGTTAACCGTAACACGCGGAGGCGCGGCGGCGCCATGGATGCGATTTCGTCATGCCATCGATGCGGCCGGTTAGGTCATCTATCTAGGGACTGTAACATCAAAACGTGCTTCAAATGCAACGGGTAAGTTCCTCTCTCTTTCTCATCCCTCCATTATTCCCTCTCTTAATCCCTCTCTCTCGTCCCTTCTCTCATCCAGTTTCTCATCCCTCTCTTTCTTCCTCTCTCTCTCTCATCCCTCAGTCTCATCCTTCTCTCATACTCTCACTCATTCCCCCTGTTTCATCCACAAACACATTCCTTCTCTCATCCCCTTTCCCGCATTCCCTCTCTCTCCGTCCCTCAATCCCCCTCACATCCCCTTTCCCCCATTCCATCTCTCCCCCCTCCCTCATTCCCTCTCTCATCCCCTCACCTGCGCATCCCTGAGTTCGCACGCCTTCCTTTTTCCAACAACTTCCTCTCCCTCATTCCTCTCCTCTCTGCTGCACCCTTTTCTCCAACCTCTTCCTCTCCCCTCATCCCTCTCCTCTCTTCTGCACCCCTTTCTCAACGCTTTCTTGTTCTGCACATCTCATCGTTCACATGATGGGTGGGGGGGAGGGGAGTAGCCGGGGGCAATTTTTGAGGCGCCTCAAAAATAGGAGTAGCTGGGGCCACATGGCATGGGGATGCAAAAGTTAAATTACAGGCCATGAATCAACCTCTTTCTCTCACTCATCCCTCTCTGCTGCACCCCTTTCTTATTGCGCTCTCCTGTTGTGCAGATCTCCTCGTGCACGTGGGTGGTGGGGGGAGTAGCCGTGGGCACATGGCGTGGGAATGCACAGCAGGCGTCACTTGCAGCATCTGCGGCCAGACGGGCCACCTTCAGCGCAACTGTCGCAACGTTTCCTGCCACAAGTACGTGCAGTATTTCCCTCTGCATCTGCAGCATGCGGTAGCTTAATTTGACTCGAAAGGCACATGCAGCATTGGCAGCACTTGCTGCATTTGCGGCCAGACGGGCCAACTTTAGCGCAACTGCCGCAATGTCTCTTGCCACATGTACGTGCAATATCCCCTCCTGCATCTGCAGCGCACGTACGACTCATGCCACATGTGCGTGCAATGCACCACCCGCCACCCCCCACCCAACCCCTGTTTCCGCTCTTCTCGTCCCCGCCCTCTCCCTTTTTCTTGCCCGCATCCTCGCTCCAGCACAAGTATGAGGCTGAAAAATATCATATTATAAGATGATGTGAAGTCGACCAGAAAATTAACTGGCCCCACTGCAGCAAAAATACGAGATTTGAGGTATTCATGTCAACCAGACCATTCTCCAAATTGTTTCTTAAGCTGATTGTGCACCGAACAGTCTTTACCCCACCCCCACCCCTGCCGCCAGCGCTGCCGCCATCCCTGCCCCCACTCTCAATCCCAACCCTAAAATCTAACCCGTAAACCCTGAACCCGACTCCTCCCAATTTGCTGCACTCCCTGCTCCATCCGTCTTCCACCCCTGCCCCCTGCCCCCTCTCAATCCCACCCCACCCCTGCTGCTGCCCCGGCTCCTCCTCCCTCCTCTCCCTTTGCACAGGTGTAACGTTTTTGGATGAGGGAGGTGGGAATCCCAAATGTTCAGATGTTACGCAGTATCTTGATCGTTTTTGCCATACCTTCAGATTCTGCAGCGACGTTTTTGCCATATCGAGCCTTTGAATCATGCTTTCCCCCACCCCCACCCCACCTTTGACGCCGTCTCCCCTTCCCTCCCTCCCCACCGCCCCACCCCTCCCATGCTGTCACTCCCACCACACCAGGTGCGGTCTCAAGGGCCATGTCTCTAAATCCTACAACGATCCATTTCCCAGGATGAAAAATCGGTTCGAATGTTCACCAAACAGGCCTTCCCCCGCCCCCACCCTGCTGCCACCCCTGCTCCCCTCCCCGCACCCCATCCCAACCCCTCCCTCCCAACCCCCCATGTTGTCACTCCCATCACACCAGATGTGGTCGCAAGGGCCACATTTCCAAATTCTGCAGCGATCCATTTGCCAGGGTAAGGCAGAGTATTCCAGGTATGGGTAAGGCACAGAGCGAGCCTGAGTATTCAAGGCAGGGTGCACGCCTTTTTTTCGCATGGCCAATTGCACATGCGCTGCACACGCTGAGAACGTAGGATAAGAAGGCAGCAGACTCTGGTGACCCTTTTTTTCAGAGGGCAGTTTTCGTATAGGTGGTGTTTCTTTCGAGCAGACACATTCGCGCTGCACACGCTAGAGCATGTATGATAAGAGGGCAGCACACAGTGATGGATTGGCATACATGCCGTTCTTTCCAAAAGGCATTTCTTGCGTGGGTGACGTTTCTGTTGCGCAAGCACACAGGCAAGCACCCGGAGCAGCACACAATGATGCGCTCTTGCTTCCCTCTTCCAAACCTGAGATGTTTCAAAACTCGTTGTCTCGTTTAGATTCTATCTCTACTCAATGTTATGTGTCCTCTTATCTCTACTCTCATTCACACAGGCAGCAGAGGCTGAGCGCATGGAGAGGCAGCAGGCAATCATGTCTGCAAGGGCGGCTCAGAGTCGGTTGCAATCTGCAAGACATGTGACTGATGAGTCGAGTCACCCCCCTTCTGTGACTCCACGTCTCCGCTCTCCCTTTTTTTTTTTACAGGCAGCAGGGGCTGAGCGCATGGAGAGGCAGCAGGCAATCATGTCTGCAAGGGCGGCTCAGAGCCGGTTGTAGATGAATGAGGCAGTCTCATGCCTTGCCTCGCCTGTTTCGGTGACTCCACTTGTCCATCCACCTGTTCATTCACACAGGCAGCAGAGGCTGAGCGCATGGAGAGGCAGCAAGCAATCATGTCCGCGAGGGCGGCTCAAACTCAACGACACGTGGCCCGGCGATCGGTCATCCATGCCTCGCCTCATATGCCTGGTAAGTTGCCTTTGAGTTGGGTGGTTACCAGTTGACCACACTTGCTGTCAACTGTAAGGCAGCAGGCAATCATGTTTGCGAGGGAGGCTCAGATTCAACGACATGTGGCCGGCGATCAGTTTATCCATGCCACATCTCACTCGCCTGGTAAGTAGCTGCGACAGTCTTGGTAAGCTGTAAGGCAAGCAGGCATCCATGTCTGCGAGGGCGGCTCAGACTCAGAGACACGTGGCCCGGCGATCCGTCAACCATGCCACGCCTCACGCCCCTGGTAAGTTGCCTTTGAGTTGGGTGGTTACCAGTTGACCACACTTGCTGTCAACTGTAAGGCAGCAGGCAATCATGTCTGCAAGGGTGCCTCAGACTCAGAGACACATGGCCCGGCGATCAGTCATCCATGCCACGCCCCACACGCCTGGTAAGCGGATTCGAGTTGCCTTTGAGTAGAGTTGAAGTCAAGCAAGCAATCATGTCTGCGAGGGCGCCTCAGACTCAGAGACACATGGCCCGGCGATCGGTCATCCGTGTCACGCCCCATGCGCCTGGTAAGCTGCATGCCCTTTGGTTGGGTAACTAGTCAATTTTTAGGCGAGCAGGCAGTGATGCCCGTAAGGGTGGCTCACTCAGACTCAGAGAGACACGTGGCCCGGCGGTCAATCGTCCATGCCACGCCCCATGCGCCTAGTAAGCTGTGCGTACCTTTGTTGGGTAGTTGCTGTTGTCGTGGCTTTGAGACGTCTCAAAGCTGTGCGTACCTTTGTTGGGTAGTTGCTGTTGTCGTGGCTTTGAGACGTCTCAAAGCTGTGCGTACCTTTGTTGGGTAGTTGCTGTTGTCGTGGCTTTGAGACGTCTCAAAGCTGTGCGTACCTTTGTTGGGTAGTTGCTGTTGTCGTGGCTTTGAGACGTCTCAAAGCTGTGCGTACCTTTGTTGGGTAGTTGCTGTTGTCGTGGCTTTGAGACGTCTCAAAGCTGTGCGTACCTTTGTTGGGTAGTTGCTGTTGTCGTGGCTTTGAGGCGTCTCAAAGCTGTGCGTACCTTTGTTGGGTAGTTGCTGTTGTCGTGGCTTTGAGACGTCTCAAAGCTGTGCGTACCTTTGTTGGGTAGTTGCTGTTGTCGTGGCTTTGAGACGTCTCAAAGCTGTGCGTACCTTTGTTGGGTAGTTGCTGTTGTCGTGGCTTTGAGACGTCTCAAAGCTGTGCGTACCTTTGTTGGGTAGTTGCTGTTGTCGTGGTAAATTTTGAAGCAATCAACTAAACGAATGATCTCCTGTCTTCCTTTTTCTCTCTCTTTCCTTTCAACCATCCACAGGCAAGGGCATGACCACAGCGTGGGATGGGCTAGGCCGATCCGTGCCCCATACCCCTCCTGTCTTGATTCTCAAATCGCCCCCCGCTGCTAAAGTTGCTGCCAAGGGAGCCACTGCTGCGCCTTCAGGCCCCAGCTCCTCTCCTGCACTTCCTGCTTCTCGTTCTGGTGATGCTGCTGGTGCTGCTGGTTCTGCCGGTGGTGGTGGTGTGAGTGCGGCAGCAGTTGGGGACAAGAGGAAGGTGGATGAGTTGGAGGATGGGGCGGGCGGTGGGCTAAAAGGGTTGCTGGCGTATGGCTCAGATGACAGTGACGACGAGGATACAAGGGAGGATACAAGGGAGGATGAGGAGAGAAAAGAGGTGGAGGAAGGAATGGAGGAGGAGGAAAGAAGGGTGGTGGAGGAAAGAAGGGAGGAGGATAGAAGGGATATAGGGGAAAGAGGGCAGTTGGAGGAAGGAAAGGAGGTGGAGGAAGCAAGAAAAGAGGAGGAACAGGATGAGAGATTAAGGAATGCTGCTGGTGCTGCTGATGCTGAAGTTGCTGGAACTGCAAAAGCTGATGCTGCTGGTGGTAGTACTGCTGCCGCTAGTGATGGTGCTCGTGCTGGTGGTGATGGTGGTGCTTCTGGTGGTGTTGCTGGTGATGCTCTTGCTACTGGTGATACTGCTCATACTGCTGGAGGGGGTAATTGTGGTGATGCTGTTGCGGGTGCTGATGATGCTGCTGCGGGTGCTGATGATGCTGATGCTGCTGCTGTTGCTGCTGATGATGATACTGGTGTTGCTGCTACGGCTGGTACAAGTAGTGGGACTGCTGGTGCTGCAATTACTGGTGATTGTCACTCTGGCAGTGCTTCTACTGCTGAGAGGACAGCTGTCGATGTTTCTGCTCCTGCAGCAGCTGCTGCTGCTGCTGCTGATGCCGCTGCTGGTGCTTCTTCTGATGGCGATGCCGATGGTGGTGGTACTAGATTGCAATGATTCTGACCCGGTGTTCCTGTTCGTACCAGCAATCTGTATTGATGGTTAATTTGCAATCCACCTAAAGAGGATCTAACAAGAGCCTGAGGCCCAGATTTCAAGTGTGAAAAAATGAAAGTGTGGTGTTTTGGGAATATTTCACTTTAGTAATTTTTTTTCGTTACAAGTTAGGTGACGGTGGCCAGGGCCTCCCAATTATGGATGTGAAGCAAAATATTATGTACCAGGTGAGGTGAGGCATCCAGCAAAATCAGCTATGAAAAATAAGCATGTAGCAAGACCCTACCGTAAGCCCCCGGATATAAGCGCAGGCCTCGGATAAGCGCCGGCGCTTATAAAAGGATGACGGCGCTTATATCCGGTCCTCGATTATAAGCCCACCCCTGAAGGCTTACAGATTATAAGCGCCACCCTCTGTTTCTTTTTGCTATAATTGTACTGAAATCGTTGTAACGAAACTCACATTGTCCATTCCCACATTTTTGAATTTCGATGTCCTTCACCTCGCTCGGCTCATTGCCTGCGCGTCCAGTCAAAATGAGCTGTCGGCAGCGTAAGTTGAGTCATTCTGACTGTGTATGTTGGCAGGGAATCATTTCCTGCCAACTGGCGCGAGATTCTAAATTCCAGCCCTGTATAGTTTCGACTCGATTCAAATTGCAACAACGTGATCTACAATTTGGTGTAAGAAATATGCATTTCATAAATGTCATTATATAAGCGCCGGCGCTTATAAAAATCCTCGATTATAAGCGCACCCCCTAAAAAACAGTGTTTTTTTATACCCCCAGGGGCGCTTCTATCCGGGGGCTTACGGTATTCACCTGACCTTTCGAACAGACGCTAGACTTGCTGGGGTTTGCATTGTGTCGAAGCGGCAAGGCACATCAGCAGGACAAAGAGACATCACGGTGACGGGACAGGCAGCATGAAAGTCAGTCGAATAGAGAGGGGGTACCAGATCTAGAGAAGCAGATAAAGCGCAACTAGATTGATACAGGGGGTAGTGCTTTACAAGATGTGAGTATAAGGGCCTGCAACATCTTGAAACCTCACAGTGCGAACCATGCTGTAGTTTAGTTTGTTTTGTTTGTTTGTTTGTTTGTTTGTTTGTTTCGCAAGTACATGTCGACGTTGATGTTAACAGCGCGCATGGCTGGTGTGGATAATTCAACCCCCCTGCAAGCTGTAGTTTGGCGAATATGCTCGGGGACGACTATTGTGACAATGAGTTAATTTGAGCACACCCTAACCATTGTATTGCAAAACGCATGGAAATGGGAGACAAAAAGAGTTGCATGCAAATGGTTTCCATGGTGCCACCGACGGTGTAATAGATTGTATGAGAACGAGATTGAACACGAAATGCTACACTTGATGTAGATTGAAAAAAAACAAAAAAAAAAAAAACAAACTTCCAGATGCACCAGCTTCTTGGTTCGGACAATGCTTGGTCGGCAGCACCATCGTGCAGTTTGGAACTGTGCTGGAAAGGAAGGGCTTCCTTTTGACTTTTTGTTTTTTACCGGTTTCAGCATGTTTCATGCCCAAAAAAGGCTGCGGAAACTGGACAATTACATGTTACGCGATTGTAACTCATGCAGGCAAGCACATGGTGGCTACTGGAGTTTGAAGACCCAAGAAGTAATTCAAAGTGCTCTGCAGGAGGGTGGGTATAAGCAAAACAAGGATACTTATATCATAGAGATGTGTTCATCCAGAATCATGTATTTGTTCCACAATGTTGGCGAAGAGAGAGAGAGAGTACATCTGTATGGATTTGCAAGGCTTTTTACTTGCAAGCAAGACTTGCTAGTGCAAGGGTGTTTGTCACATCAAGATAAATCGGCGCATCCCCAATAGAGGTCAAAGCACTGACTGTCACTCCTACAATTACGGCGAACCAGCAATGAGTGCGTTAATATAAGTATATGCTTGTAAATACAACATCCGTATGCAGTTGACTATATGCGGTGTAGATAGATGATAAAACATCCTTGCCCTCTCACTTTGACAAACCCTAATCCCCTGTACATCTAGCTCAGATATTTGGCGACTGCGTGAAAATATAGGACATTATTTTCACTCCCTTTCCTAGAGTAATTTTCCCACCATATCTGCCCAAACAGTAAAACCCTCCCAAATTAGAGCCCCCATGTTCACAATACCGGGGGGAGAAAAGGGGCGAAGGGAGGAGGGGATTGGAGGTGGTGGGGGAAGGGGGGGGGGGGGGGGGGGGGGGTGGTGGGCGGGGGCTTGGTGGTGTTATTGTTATCGTGCAGATTAGTTTATATTATATCCTCTTCGTACAGATTAGTTTAGACCCCCCATCCCTTTCACCTTTTGGTTCTAATTCACGGCACTTATGAGCACATTATCAATTTCACTTAAGAAAGAAATGTGCTCAAATGCTTATCCTTTGATTTTCAATAGACCATCCTTTAGGGTCGGCTCCTTATAGGGTATGAATAACTGTTTATCTTCCATATGTCGTAAATTGCTACTCGAGCATTAGTTAACGCACGACAATAACGTGCGACGATTGTGTCATGTGGCGGAATGGATAGGACATGAAGTTGGTCGAAGAATATGTTCAACACTAATTAACACCGTTGAATATAGGGACGTGCAACCTCTTCTATTTACTCTTAAGTAGAAAACGAAATAGGACCCCAATCTAGAAAAGGGTGTATAGGGCTAAGCTTCCAACCCTCCCCCCCCCATCTCCCCCCTCCCCCGCCCCTCTCCCCACCCCTCATGTGCTCATTCGAGGAGAGGAATTAGGTACCAATGCAGGAGTAGAAAAACCAGTTGAGCTTCCTGTCACCTTGTGCTCCCTTCTCCCTCATCCCCTCCCACCCACCCTTTCTTTATCTCTCTCTCTCTCCCTCTCTCTCTCTCTCACACACCCACACCCACACATACAGATACACACACACACACACACACACAATCACACACACATAAACGCACACACAGACACAGACACACACACACACACACACACACACACATACACACACACACACACACACACACACACACACACACACACACACACACACACACACACACACACACACACACACACACACACACACACACACACACACACACACATTATGCAGAAAACCCCCACAGGCACTCGATGTTTTTTCAGAGTAGACATGAAATGTAACACAATTCCTGATGTGGCAATGGGAATCCATCACACTATTAAAAAAAACCGTGGCCCAAACAATGTTGTTGTTGTTGTTGTTGTTGTTGTTGTTGTTGTTGTTGTTGTTGTTGTTGTTGTTGTTGTTGTTGGTGTTGTTGTTGTTGTTGTTGTTGTTGTTGTTGTTGTTGTTGTTGTTGTTGTTGTTGTTGTTGTTGTTGTTGTTGTTGTTGTTGTTGTTGTTGTTGTTGTTGTTGTTGTTGTTGTTGTTGTTGTTGTTGTTGTTGTCGTTGTGTGTTTTTTTTTTTTTTTTTTTTTTACATTCACCCCCCACAATTACCCGCAACACAACCTGCAATTACCCACTGCTCAAACACTCATGTTTCTATGAAATTTGGTTGCATATATGCAGAATGTATCAGCTGACACTCAAATAATAATGTACGAGGCACACTAAGCATGTCAAGTAAATCGTCGATATGTACAACAGGGTTTGCATGCGCCGTGACAGTGCATCGTGCCTACAGAAATAGAACTAGGAATGGTACTCATTTAATTTCACCTCAAAAGCATTTGAAGTTCTGTTGAATATCACACGAAAGCGGAATACGCTTTAAACAGGGAGGCAGCAGGTGCTGCTAATGTCGCTTGGGCTAAGGGATGGAAATCTAACCTCAGCAGCTGTAGCAGGCAATACGTGACAGCAAGGTCCAGTGGGATTCAGCATGGTGTGTGCACTGGAAGGAATGGGGACAGAGGATTTAGGCTGTTGGTGGGGCGCTTGGTGGTGTTGATTGTGGGGCTGCTGGTTGGGTTGTTGGTGGGGTTGCTGATGGTGCCGCTGTGGGTTCTGCAGGTGAGGGAATCGGTGGTGGGATGAAAAACGAGGGTCTTGAAACGTCTGCTGAGAGGGTCGGTGGCAGGGCTGCTGCCCGGGCTGGTGGTTGTGCTGCTGCTGGTGGTGCTGGTTACGCAGTTGGGGAATTCGTTGGTGGGATGTAAGGCAAGGGTCCTGGTGTATTTGCTGATAGGGTTGGTGCCAGGGCTGCTGCTGCTGGGGAAGCTGGTGGGGTTGCTGGTGGTGCGGTTGGTGCCAGGGCTGCTGGTGGGACTGCTGGTGGGACTGCTGGTGGGGCTGCTGGTGGGACTGCTGGAGAATCTGCTCCTTGATATGTACAGACTCAAGGTGCTGAAGAGAGGGAAAACCCAACGGCTTTCGGTTTGAGAGCAGGTCTGCTGATATCACTTGTTCACTGGTGTCACCATTCACCGCCTGCTGTGGCTGCTGCTGCTGCTGCTGCTGCTGCTGCTGCTGCTGCTGCTGCTGCTGCTGCTGCGGCTGTGGCTGCTCCTGGACCAGTTTCTGTGCTTCCAAGACCTCATGCAAGCCAAAGCAGCTATCATCACCACCAACACGACCACCAACACTACCACCAACACCACCACCATCACCATCACCACCACCACCGTACCCATCACCATAACTGTCGCCATCACCACAACTCCCAGGAGGCATGCAGTTGAGGTCAAAGGATGGCACAATGGCACTCTCTCTCCCCACTTGCTCATTCCCTGACCTGGCCCACTTCATCCCGTTTCCATTATGTCCAGTACCCACTTCCCCATAGATACAGACGAAGTGATAATCACAAGTGTTACTCCCACCATTAACCTCCTCTGCTGCTGTCTCGACAACCATCTTGCCTGCATCCACTTTTGCCTGATTCGCATTCTGATTGACAATGCTGGTCGCACCTGCAGCCTGATTACAACCCCCGCTCCCCTCTGCGCCACCCTCTTTCGCCTCTCCTGCCGGATCCCCTCCACTCTCACCTGCACCATCCCCTTCTGCCTCTCCTGTCCCATCCTCTCCACTCTCCCCTGATCCATCCGCTTCCCTCTCTCTGGCCCCATCCTCTCCTTCCTGATCCACATTCTTCATTGCTCCATCTGCTTCTTCCATCTTCCCAACAGCCCCTTCGTCTGCATAGAGAGTTTGGTCCATATGCAAGGCTGCATTAAATTCGTTTGGTGTAGTCTTTGGGAAGCTCGCTGTGACCCTGGTGCAGTTGCCGCCAACACCGCCAGTGCCACCACTACTACCACCACCACTGCCACCACCACTGCCACCACCACTGCCACCACCACTCCCACCACCACTCCCACCACCACTGCTATTGCCACCGCCACTGCTCGTCCCCACACACTCTATGGACCCACCATTGCCCTTCATTTCACCACTCAAATTGCTTGCAGAGGGTTTCAACCCATATGCAAATGGCGCCAAGTCCTTATGATAGCTGGAGCACACTTCGGGTTCGCCCAAATCTGCACCTCTCCTCCTCTCCCGCTTCGAAAGAGACTCCTCACTGCTTTCCGGCCTCTGAACATCCTCGCTCTTCAATTCTGCAACCATGCCTTGCTGTTGTGCCTTGCAACCCCCCTCCTCCTCCTCCCCCTCTTCCTCCTCCCGCCGGCCCTCCTCTTCCGCGCCACACCGTGCCTGACCTAACCGCTGCTTTTTGTTGCTATATGCACCAGTCTTCGGAAGAGCTTGCACCTTCTTCCTGTCTAATCCCGTGCCATTCCGAGCACGCATGCCATGGTGGTTGCTCCGCTCTTTGGCCCAAACTTCGGAGACTTGTTGCGTTTCTGCCTTTGCGACTCCTTGCGGCCATGTCTGAACTTCGTCCTGCCCCTTCCGCTTCAACTGTCAGGGCACAAGGGACAGGGGCCAGCACGGCAGGAAAGAAAATCCGTTTTTTTTTTTTTTTTTTTTTTTTTTTTTTTTTTTTTTTTTTGTGATAATTCAGACATACACTCAGCTTCACCTGCCAATCAGGTATGGCACAGGGGACAGAGATCAAGACGGCAGGAAAGAAAACCAGGTTATTGAGCCGACTCAGAAATACTCTCTGCTGTCAGGTAACAACGGCATAGGGGATAGGGAAAAGGACGGCAGGAAGAGATGAACAGTTTTTTTAGAGTGTCGTGATATTGCTCTCTGCTTCACCAACCAGGTGATAGCACAGGGACAGGGACCAGGACAAAGTTTTGAGCTGTCTCAAAATAAAAAAATAACATTTTTGGGGGGCATCTCAAAATCACTCTCCGTTTCACCTACCAGGTGATGGTACATGGACAGGGACCAAAACGGAGGGAAAATAAAACAGATGAGATCGCTGCGAGCATTAGTTTTCTAAATAGAATTTAGGGAGGATGGCATAAGGAGGGGGACGAACGAGAGGTGTTGAAAATGACGGAGGAAGGAGTGAATGATCGGGCAGGAAGCAGGAAACAAAGGGGAGCAGGTGTGGAAACCAGTAGATGATTATTTAGTTGGTTCAAAGATGGATAAGTAGGTGGCGGCGCAAAGAGTGCCGTGCTGGAATTAGGACGCGCAAAACAGAGGCTAATTTCTTCATATTCTAGATCATGAAACGAACCTACTAGGAAAGAAGGGTAAATCCCAAAACACATGAAGGTGCAAAGAAAAGCGGACAAACGAGGATGAAGGGGGTGAGGGGGGAAAAGAATAGAGGAAGGTGCAAAGACTGGTATTTTCTACGAGAACGTACAAGGGTACGTTCTTGCCTGGTGTCTAGCTTCGGGCCAAGTTTGCCTGGTGTCAGATCCCTCCAGGAACGTCTGACACAAATCGAAAAAAAAATCCTCATGCCCGTCAATTTCATTGTGTCAAGCAGCTTGGCCCGAAGCTAGACACCAGCCAAGAACGTACCCTAATACTACTACCAATGCGGTGCCCTAGGCCACATGAATATATTTGTGGATAGTACTATTGTGGAGCTTTAGGAGCGGAAGCAAAGAACAGTGGCAAGTATAACCTAAGATTCCGGCGCCAGAAAAGAATCAGCTCTCAGATATTACCTGGTGTTTCACAGGCGGCGGTTTGGCTGCTAGTAAGGCATTCAAATTTCCCTTCCGTTGACGTCGTTGACGTGGCTGACCATGACTCATCATCGGATAATCACTGCCTTGCAACGAGATCTCCTCCTCGGAGTCAACTAGGTTAATCTGGTCATCGTCCGACCACGCCTCAGAGTCTTGCATGTGCTTCAAGTCGGGATCATTGTCGTTTGATTTAGGTTGAAGCCCTCGGGATCCCGCGACGATTCTGCCGCCGGATTGCTCTTCAGCCGCTGATGATCCCGGACTCCGTCCATTTCCAGGATCGTTAAAGTTGCCCTTTGCCTCCGCTGGGTTCCGCCGCCATTTTGCGCCTCCGCCGCCGTGCGCCGGCTGTTTAGAAACGGCGGATATGCGATGCGGCGGGGAAGATACATTTCTTCCGGCGCGGCCAACGCGGGAGAGTCGCCTGGGCGGCGGCAGCTGCGCGGCTGAGCTGGTACTCGTGCTACTAGCGGTGACTCTGCTTGCGTCTCGAAGGACGTCCCGGAGCGGTCTTATCTTGCATTTCGTGGACGTCTTCTCGCACACTCCAGCAAGCTCCGAACTCGCCGCCGGCGCCGGGACTTCGGACTTCACGATTTCCGGCGTCTCGTCAGCGGCGGCGCCCCCTGTGCCTCGGAGGGATGTATTAGCCATTTCGGCGATGAACAGTTGGGCGTTTTACGATATTATTACTACTAGTACTAATGGACTGCGTAGGAGGAGTATAGCCGAAACCCAGGACTGGCAGCAGCTCCTAGCTTAGAACTTTGGTGGTGATGGTGGAGGTGGGTGGGTGGTGGTAGTGGGTCGCAAGATTCGTCAGGTCAACTGGCAGTCACATCGTTTGTCGTCTTGCGCTTTTCGGGTGATACTTATTGCTGTCTGTTCGGTTGGGTGACTTCCTTCGAATTACTGCACGTACCTGATAAATTCAGGGGCATATCAACTTGTCGAGGTCACGAAATGTGCTCGAAATGATGGTATGCTTTTGAAGACATTGGGCTTTTATAGTAGTTGTAGAAGGATACGCGGCCTCAGATCTGAGACAACCTTTCATCGAAAATGTTTGTTTGTAGTCCATAAATACAACAGAAACTCGGATATGTATCAAACAGAGTGTCTAGTTGTCGGTCTGTACAGTAACTGGGATTGGTGACCACTGAACAACCCCACCAGAAGTCACACCTCATCAACGCGGGATGACCGTGTGGCATATGATCTGTACAAAACTGTAACGAAATGCATGGAAGGGTCAAAAGCAGGGAGGCAGCAGACCCAGCAGCCCGAGAGAGAAATTTCATGAAACAAAAACAAGCTAAGCTGAATTCAGCTTACTTATTCGGTTATAACATGGAGTACGGGAAAAGGATTGCAAAATACACACTTCGGTGTAGAATGTCTCAAACATACCCCCTGGAACAGTATGCACACTAGGAACTACACCCAACCTTCAAGCGTTTTCACCACCGAAACCGACCAGCTCACAAGCTTCAACAACGGCCAGAAACTGGGTGACAGCAACATCCAAACAGCTTCGTCCTGATTCTGGGTGTCTTACGGACTGCTTGTTCGTATGTCATATTGTGAAGACTTATATTTATGCACGTTTTAGTTGTATGAGTGTCATTACACACTTCATGCATACGGTACTGAATAACGGAAGTCCAATGCTACTGGCACCGAATGAATACCATGGAAATGGAAAAAGTGCATGTGCAGAAAAACACTCAATTGGAACTTTGCATATCGGTCAATCAGCTTTGTCACCCTTGGTGTATTCAAGAAGCACATGTGGTGAGCGATATATTTTAATTAAAGTCCAATAAAGCCCTTCTTCCAGCTCCAGGTCCCCCTCTGCTCGTGCCGCATATAAATCTTCACATATAGCCATGAGCCTGTCCGTTTTTGGGATTATAGACACACATCGGCATCGACATGATAACTTAGCATAGACGTGGATGTGGAAAGGAAGTGGGAACAGAAACAATAGGAGCAACAGAAAAGGGAAAGAAAAGGGAAGAAAGGCTCATCTGGAAGGAAACAGTGAGCCAAAGATTTGGCTTGTCCAACTGCTGTTCACTCATTTCCTCTACCTGTGACTGGAGATATCTACTGGACTTCTACAGGACTGTAGAGTTGAGCAGAGCATCTTGAGGCAAAGACCAGAGCTTGGTTCTGAGGTTCGTGGGGTGCCTTTGAAGGACTTGCCTTTCGAAGGAAGGCAGATTCTCGGAGGGTATCTCGAGGAGAACAATCAGAGCTATGTTGTTTTAGGGGTTTGAGGTGCCTATTTTACAAGCGCCTGAAAAAAAACACTTGCCTTTCGCAGGAGGGCAGATTCTCGTAGGGTATCTTGAGGCGAAGGTCGGAGCTCTGAGAGCGAATGAGTCGCCCCAAGGCGAGCACAAATGTGACGTAGAGCCCCGTGATGCTGAAGGTCTGCATTGCCTCCCCCAGCACTCCAGCTGCATGTCAGGGAGGAAGAGGCGAGGAGGGAGGCGGGGAGGGAAGGAGCAAATGAGTCACCCCAGGGCGAATAGGGCGCCCCATTTTGAGCACGAACGTGACGTAGAGGCACGTGATGCTGAACGTCTGCATTGCCTCCCCTAGCACTCCGGCTGGTAGGTCGTGTGGAAGAGGGGCGGCGGTAGGAGGGGGTGAGGGATGGAGCGAACAATTTGTCCAAGGCAAGCGCGACTGTGAGGTAGAGGTGATAAAAGTTGTATTTTGAGACGTCTCAAAATACAACTTTTATCACTGTGAGGTAGAGAGAGACTTAGCATCGACTTTTGAGGCGCCTCAAAAGTCGTCTCATGTCTCGCGGTCAGGGTGACCCAAGGCAAGCGCGACTGTGAGGTAGAGAGAGAGACTTAGCATCGACTTAGTGATGCTGAACGTCTGCATCGCCTCCTCTAGCATTTGTTTGAAGGTCGTTTTTGAAATTTCCCAAAAACGACCTCCCAGTTGTAGCTGCTGTGACACTGTGATAGCAGCAGACCCTGATGCTTCCCCTTCCCCACATGCCTCCAATGCCCCTACCTACCACCGTGATAGAGCAGATGTGTTATGAGAAGTCTCAGAACAAAAGGAACATACCAGGTACTTCCTCAGACACTGTGACGGCAGCAGGCCTGGATGCCTCTCTGCATGCCTCCATCGCCTCACTAACAGCCGCACACCCTTGAGAGAAGTCTCAAAACCAATGGACCCTACCAGGCACTTCCTCCAACACTGTGATGGCAGCAGGCATGTGAAAGAAGTGTAGTTCTGAGACGTCTCAAAACTACACTTGTTTCATTTGGCACTCACCAGGCACTTCCTCCAACACTGTGATGGCAGCAGGCCCTGATGCCTCTCCACATGCCTCCAGCGCCCTCACACCCTTTACTGCCCGCCCATCCATTGGGTTGATACCCACCCACCCACCAAGCAAGCGTGCAGCACAGCACTAACCCACCAGACACAATACCTACCAGGCACTTCTTCTGAAACAGTGATAGCAGCCGGCCCTGATGCTTCTCCACATGCCTCCAGTGCCCTCACACCCTCACTGTCCTCCAGCCTCCCCCCCCTCTCTGCAACACTCCCACCCTTTCCTTCTCCTCGCATCTCCACCTCTGCTCCCTCCCTTCTGCTGCCCCAACCGCCACTGCCCCATCTGCTGCTGCTGCTGCCCCACCCAATGCTACCACGTGAAAGGGTGGAGTTTTGTGATGTGTTGTAAGAACACACACCGAGAGTACCAGTGGAGTCGGGAGGGAGAGGAGCACAGTGTAGCACCCACCAACGGCTGTTACCACTTCCTCCATTCCTGCTGCTGCTGCTGCCACTGCTGCTGCTGCTGCTGCCGCTGGTGGTGGTTGAGTCATCTTGCAGTTGCAGGCAGCAGGCAGAACGGACCTGGTTCAGGGCACAGGGAAGGGAAGGGGGGGGGGGGGGGGGGGGTTGAGAGGGGAAGTCAGGAGGGAGAGGAGCACAGTGCAGCACCCACCAACGGCTGTTGCCACTCCCTCCACTGCTGCTGCTGCTGCTGCTGCTGCTGCCACTATTGCTGGTTAAGTCACCTTGCAGTTGTAGGCAACAGGTCGATCAAACCTGGTTCAGGGCACAGGGGGGAAGGGGTGGGGGGGATTGATACTGTTAACGTGAGACAGCAGACAGCAGACAGCAGACAGCAGACAGCAGACAGCAGACAGCAGACAGCAGACAGCAGACAGCAGACAGCAGACAGCAGACAGCAGACAGAAGACAGCAGGCAGCAGACAGCAGACAGCAGACAGAAGACAGCAGACAGAAGACAGCAGACAGCAGACAGCAGACAGAAGACAGCAGGCAGCAGGCAGCAGACAGCAGACAGAAGACAGCAGACAGAAGACAGCAGACAGCAGGCAGCAGACAGCAGACAGCAGGCAGCAGGCAGCAGACAGCAGGCAGCAGACAGCAGACAGCAGACAGCAGACAGCAGACAGCAGACAGCAGACAGAAGGCAGCAGACAGCAGGCAGCAGACAGCAGACAGCAGGCAGCAGACAGCAGGCAGCAGACAGCAGACAGCAGACAGAAGACAGCAGGCAGCAGGCAGCAGACAGCAGACAGCAGGCAGCAGACAGCAGACAGTAGACAGCAGATAGCGGGCAGCAGACAGCAGACAGCAGACATTTGAGACTGCTTTCAGTTCATGTCCATTTGAGACTGCTTTCAGTTCATGTCCATTTGAGACTGCTTTCAGTTCATGTCCATTTGAGACTGCTTTCAGTTCATGTCCATTTGAGACTGCTTTCAGTTCATGTCCATTTGAGGCACAAGATGGCCTCAGCCACGACGCACACAACTACGTGCACACTCCCTCACATACACATGCACGCACACTTGAAAACAGCCTCAGCGTTACCGTGGAAGCTTCCAGCTCTCTCGCCTTGCCGAACCCAGGAAGCTTCCAGTAGACCGGATAGAGCTCTGGCAGCAGCTATCCCTCTCCACCACTCTCCCCACCATTCCCACCGTTCCCACCCTCCACAGCAGGTGCCTTTCTCCCCTCCAGCATCCCCAGTAAACCATCAGCAAGCAGCGCGGAGAGCAGGCCGGAATAGACCTCCAGTCATGACGCCACCTCCCTTCTTACGGGGCGGCGGGGACGTGTGAACCACCACCACTGGACTATGAAAGTCACAAAAACACACCCACACAGACACCCACCTACACACTTACCTGCCCACACACACACTCAGAGTCAGCCTTACCTTGGAAGCTTCCAGCTCTCTCGCCCTGCCGAACCCAGGAAGCTTCCAGTAGACCGGATATAACTCTGGCAGCAGCAACCCCAAGGCCCCACCACCATTACCCCCAACGCCAGGTGCTTTCCTCCCCTCCAGTAGCCTAGCAGGTGCTTTCCTCCCCTCCAGCATCCCCAGCAGCCCATCAGTAAGCAGAGCGGGGGGCAGGCCGGAATAGACCTCCTCCCATGATGCCACCTCCCTTCGTACAGGGCGGGGGCGTGTGAACCACCATTGGACGATAAGGCTTGGCGCACACGGGTCTGGCGGACCGGAGAGAGAGGCTTGGGAAGAGGCTTGGAGGGAGCGACGGGAGGAGGCTGGTTGGATGGAGGGAAGTGAAGGTTGAATTCGGCGATACGGGAAGGAATTTTCTACGTGTGATGATCCTGACAAATCTCTTCTTCTCCCTCCGTTCACTCTATACTTTCCGCCTATCCTTCCTCTGCTTCTGCCGCCCCCTCCTCCTGTGGCCGATCTTCTAAGTGCTTCTCTTAGCCGGCTCTCAGCGGGGGGTGTTAGCTGGAAGAGGGAGAGGGAGTCGGGGTAAACGCACACCAGGCGCATATCGACGGGTAAATACCCCGTGGAATTCAGGATAGGGTCGTCTGAGACGTTCCAGGAGGGAATTCGAGGTGGGGGTGGGGGAGAGGGTGGAGAGAGGGGAGGAGAGGAGGCAGGGATGGGAGGAGAGGAAGGGGGAAGAGGAGGAGACTGTGTGGCTGCTGGTAGCTGTACATTAAAACTAGTACTGTCAGCAGCTGAACCGTGGTGGTTGCTGTGGTGCAATGCATTGGGCATGCTTGTAAAGGGTACAACAAGCACATGCTCATGTTGTGGGACCGACTCGTTATAAGAAGATCCGCTACCACTATAAGGCGTTCTACTACCAGAGTACTCAGTTTCAGTGAGTGTGCGACGACTTTCATCCCTGTAGGAGCCCTGGTTCCAGGAACCTTCCACTGCATCCTTAGCAGCTTCCTGCGAACCTTCCTCCGGATCCTGCTCCATTGCCACAGAAGCCGCCATCCCCTCAGGATACTCCAGGAACCTTCCAGAAACCCCCAAAGAACCGTCCTCCTCTTCCCGACCAGCAAAGGAACCTTCCTCTGGAACACCTGAGAAGGAACCTTCCAGGAAACGCATCTCCTGCAGCTGCTGTGGATCTGTGAGCTGAAAAGGGGTTGCAGGTCCTGGGCTGAGCAGAGGATCTAGCAGCAGGCGCTCTTGCCCTCCTTCAAAGATGGGGAAGGAGCCGGAGCAGGTCTGCAGGATCAGATTGACTCGCACGTCTGTGACCAGATTGGGGTAGTTGGCAGGGTTGCCGCTGCTGTAGATCTGCAGGGAAGGGGAGAGAGGATAGTAAGAGGGGGAAGTGGAGGAAAGTGAGAGACTGGGTACAGAGAGGGGAAGATGGGGAAGGAGCCGGAGCAGGTCTGCAGCACCAGGTTGACTCGCACGTCTGTGACCAGATTGGGGTAGTTGGCGGGGTTGCCGCTGCTGTAGATCTGCAGAGGGGTGAGGGAGAGAGGAGGACAGAAGGGGTACAGAGTGTGCAAGCAGTATCGTTGACAACTGTGGCTACATCTTTTAAGGCGACTTTTGAGGCGCTTTTGAAGGTGCCTCAACAAAAAGAGGGGGTACAGACAGAGTGTGACTAATCCAGACGTCACAATAACAGCACGGACAGTAACCGGACGCACCAGCATGGGTACCCAGATGGCCTGTGGTTATAGCGACGCATCAATTGCTCTGTCAACTAGAGAAAATAGCTGTGTGGCTATACCATGACTCACCAGCATGGGCGCTCAGATGGTTGTGACTAAAGCGAGGAAGAAGAATGCGACTCTCGCAGAGAAAATCGCCGTGTGTGTGTGAGCATAACAGCATGGGACTACATTTGAGGCGCCTCAACAGCATGGGACTACAACAACAATGACCAGCATGGGCGCCCAGATGGCTGTGACTATAGCAGGATGAGTGAGAAGCAATATCATGACCGAAAAGTGACTATAGTGGTGACAATAACGAGACGCACCAGCATTGGCACCCAGATGGCTGTGACTACGGCGAGGGAGGAGCAGGGAACATCAGTCCCAGTTGTGGCATGACAATAACAAGACTCACCAGCATGGGCGCCCAGATGACTGTGACTAAAGCGAGGAAGAAGAAGGCACCCCCCATGAGCTTCACCCCCCACCCCTGCGGCTGCCCCGGCTTGTGCCCTGCACGTGCTATCTTGCGATCGCAGGTGACGAGGTAGAGACTGGCGTATATGTCCTCCAGCTATTGAAGGGGGAGGGGGGAGCGGCGCAAAAGGGGGGGAGTAGAAGGGGGGAGCGATAGACGGACAGACACAGCCTTGATCGTGCTGCCGTGCTATCTTGCGATCGCAGGTGACGAGGTAGAGACGGGCGTATATGACCTCCAGCTGTTGAGGGGGGAGGGGGGGCAAGGAGAGCAATAAGGATAGAGCAGTGTAGGTAGGGGGAGAGAAGGCGCAGGGGTGTGCCGCGCGCGCTCTATCTTGCGATCACAGGTGACGAGGTAGAGGCTGGCGTTATATGTCCTCTAGCTGTTAAGGTGGGCGGAGGAGAAGAAGGGGAGAGGAGGGGGACACAGACCCCTTGGTCGCTCATGCGTCATTCTACTGCCGTAATGCAGAAAGATTACAATTCTAACAGACAGCACACCTTCAGCCAGTCGTAGAGGGGCAGAGTCATTTTCGTGCACCACCAATCCAGAATCAGATGGAGCTCATAGAGAAACGGCAGCATGCGGTACACCCGGAACACTGCAGTGCAGTGTGTTGGTAGGAAGGAGAAGCATACCTTGAGCCAGTCGAAGAGGGGCAGAGTCATTTTCGTGCACCACCAATCCAAAATCAGATGCAGCTCGTAGAGAAACGGCAGCATGCGGTACAGGTGCCTTAGTTAGACGCCAACATTAACAGCTCAACAGCGTACCTTGAGCCAGTCATACAGAGGCAGAGTTGTTTTCGTGCACCACCAGTCGAGAATCAAGTGGAGCTCGTAGAGAAACGGCAGCATGCGGTAGACCCGGAACAGCTGCCAGCGCAGCCACGTGGCCCTCCTAGTCAGAAACGGCGTCGCCTTGCTAGCCGGTCCCGGCGGGCCGTGCTTCAGTTGCAGCGCTGAGAGCGCGAGGGAGATGGACTTGATGGCGAGGTAGGCCCGGATGGTGTTGTGGGAGGCAATGAGGTTGGCGTTCCAGAAGAGGCGCATGGGGTAGCCGAGGTGCAGGAGGAGGGATGTGAGGTGGTAGAGGATGCGCAGGGGGGCGGAGAAGACCAGGTAGAGGATGCGGTTGGTGACTATGAGGAAGAACTGCGTCTGCTTGTATTGGGGATGGGGGTGGGGGGGTGGGGAGACAGGGAGATTGGGGGATGGGGGATGGGGGGAAGGGGGACTGGCGTTGAAGACCAGGTAGAGGATGCGGTTGGTGACTATGAGGAAGAACTGCGTCTGCTTGTATTGGGGATGGGGGTGGGGGGGTGGGGAGACAGGGAGATTGGGGGATGGGGGATGGGGGGAAGGGGGACTGGCGCTGAAGACCAGGTAGAGGATGCGGTTGGTGACTATGAGGAAGAACTGCGTCTGCTTGTAGGGGGGATGGGGGACGCGGATTTTGGTTTATGGGAATGAAACAAAAGCTCTGGGTTGATTAGGCAATGAGCATGCTACATGCCATACTTGGTGCTCGGAACGGTGGTTTAAACAAGTGAATAAAGCATTAGGGCATAAGATTTGGTAGTATGATGCTACTTTTGAGACGGCTCAGAACTTGGTGGTGCTTGAGATGGGTGGTCAAAAGGACCATTGAGAATAAGGAGCAACTACAAATGACATGCTATTCAGGTAACACGCATGTACCACGAGCACAGCCACATAGGTGTAGGGGAACTGGTCCCTCGTGTGAATGACCTGCTCAAAGGGCGACCGGTGGTGCACAGCTGACTGGAAGGCTACTCACCCCAACTGCATCCTCAACTCGTTAACGGGCAATGCAGCTCTGGCAACATACTCACACGCATTAAGAGCACGGCACCACCGTTATTAGGGGAACTGGTCCCTCGTGTGAATGACCTCCTCAAAGGCCGACTGGTGGTGCACAACCAGCTGGTGGCCAAATCCCAACAAACTTTACCTTGAATCCTGCTCTGGCAACAAGTGACATGACATGCCACTCTACCACTCTCACCATGAGCACAGCCACATAGGCGGAGGGGAACTGGTCGCCTGTGTGAATGACCTCCTCAAAGGGCGACCTGTCAGACTGGTGCGCTATTAATCACAGAAAATTTCACCTTGAGTCCTGCTCAACACGTACCATGAGCACAGCCACATAGTTGTAAGGGAACTGGTCCCCCGTGTGAATGACCTCCTCAAAGGGCGACCTGTCTCGCACAGCCGACTGGTAGAATAGCCCCACGTAGAAGAAAGCGAGGATGTCGATACAAAAGATGTAGGGGTATAGATCCACCTCCCTGCGACCACCTGAGATGGTAATAGGGCAGAGGGGAACCGATGGTGACTTTCAAGAATCAAGAGGGCGACTTGTAACACACGGCATGGCACAGCCGACTGGTAGAAGAGCCCCACGTAGAAGAACGCGAGGATGTCGACACAAAAGATGTAGGGGTATAGGTCTATCTCCCTTCGGCCACCTGGGAAGGGGGGAAATGGGGAATCAATGTGAAAGAGAGCGGAGAGTTAGCAAGAGTATGAAAGCCCATGTAGACGAAGGCAAGGATGTTGATCCAGAAGATGTAGGATGTCCACCTCCCAGCGACGTAAGATTGTAGAAGACCCAGCGATGTTCTGGGAGTGGGAAAGAGAGATGAGAACAGTCAAGTAATGCACAAACCCATTTCGACGGCCCTCAGAATGCTTTTTCTAAGAGTCGACATACCTGAAAAGGCACACACAAGAGAAGCACACACTACCTGCAACAACAGAGGCGAGTTGCACGCGGCGCGACCCAAACGCCCTCCCCAGAATGACATTGGCAGCAGCAGCAACTGATGCCCTCACTCTGCTGCTGCAACCCCCTGCCACAACCCCATGCCCATCCCCATGGCCATGGCCATGCCCATCCCCATCTACATACCCAGCTCCGCCTCCATGCACACCCCCATGCCAATCCCCACCCCCATGCCCATTTTCACCCCCTCCCTCTCCCCCACTCCCGGCCCTTCCCCCGCTCAGGAACCTCCCAAGCCTCTTTGCCACATCAGCAGATGGCGTGAGAGACTGCCACGTGTCCTGCCACGTGTGTGGCTTAGAGGGAGCGTGCTGGGGCGTTCCGGAGGCGGAGGGGGAACCCGAGCAAGTGGGAGAGGAGGCAGAGGCAGAAGCAGAGGCACTGGTGGTGGCAGTGGTGCTGGTGGTGGTGGTGCTGCTGGTTGTAACCACCTCGAGCACCACCACTAGAGTGTCAGTAACAGGGAGTTGCGAGTGGGAATGCAAGTGAGGGGGAGAGGAAGGGTGGGGTTCACTCTCACGTGCACCGGCAGCAGAAGGAGCAACAGGAGGCGGAGCGTTCACTGTTTCATGTGGGTTGGCTGCTGCAGGGGCAGAGGTGTTGAATGCGGTGGTGTTGAGAGAGCCAGAGCATTGCACGCTATGCACTCGCACACACAGGGGGTAGTCGCACGGACGCAACACAAGTGCCTGCTCTTGCAGCTTCTCATGCTGACACCACAGTTGAGTCTCATCATGTTGATAATGCTGCTGTTGCTGCTGGTAGTGCTGCTGCTGCTGCTCAATCGCTGCTGCTTCGTCCTCCTCGAAACGAACATGCTTTTTTGAACCACCTCCACCATGGCCTCCTCTCCTCTGTGTAGCTCCTGCCACATCAGCAGGCACTGCCACGTCAGCAGGCACTGCCACATCAGCAGGTGCTGCCGCGTCATCAGCATGCGATAGCACAAAGTTGAACGCCCCCTCGATGACACCTGGCAGCATCTGATTGGCCGACCACCCATCTGGGCTGCACAGCACAACCTGCACAAAGTAGGGAGGCGCTTCAGACCCTTCCATAGCAGCTCTTAAGAACCTAATTAATCCCCTCCACACTCCTGTGCATCGGAACGACTGAACCCCCCACACCCGCTGAAACGAAAACGGCCGGGTAGATGTTCCTTCCCCGCTGCTGCTACTCCTATTGCTGCTGCTTCTACTCCCACTGCTGCTGCTCCTGCTGCTGCTGCTGCTGTTGCCGCTGCTTCTGCTGCTCCTGCTCCGGCTGCTGCTGCGGTAACTATGCCTCGAGTTGCTTCCCTCTGCTGAGCTGTATCCACTGCGAGACGTGAGAGGGAAGGCTGGAGCATGTGCTTGACCAGGCGAGTGAGAGGCTGTTTGGAAGGATGACTGCGGGAACGTGGATGCACGCGTGCTGCGGCCCAGCAGTGGCGAAGCTGCCTCCACGTCAGCACCATCATCATCCTTGTCAGCAGTGTCCACGTCAGCATCGCAGTCCACGTAAGCATGCACGTGAACAGCCTGGCTGACCCCAACCAGCCGACCAACCACCCTCGCAATGCCCTTCAATCCACCCCAGAAACCACCCTCCTCAGTCCAACCCCCTCTCTCTTCCCTATCCCCTCTCTCTCCGCCTCCTCCCCCACCCACTCCCTGTCCAGCTCGACCCGAACCACCATCCGAGCCACGGTCACTTCCAAACCTCACCTCCTCCTCTTCCTCCCCCTCTGGTCTGCCAACCTTCACAGAGCTTCTAGCCTCCCCAGAAACCCTAGTTTCCTTAGCATCCTTAGACTGCCTGTTCCGTTGACAAATAGCGGTCTGAACAAGCAGAGCAAGGTAGACTGCAAAGAGAGGAAGCACATTCCAAACGAACCAGCTCGGGTAGGGGCGGACGCCTAACAGAGCAAACAGCCTATCCAAACCATCCATTCCAAACCCCGCCCTTATCCACCCAGCAAACCCTCCCCCTCCCCCTCCCCCTCCCACTCCTCCTCCTCCTCCACCACCCCCTCCACCGCCCCCTCCCTTTTTCCCGCTCCCTCCCGCTCCATTCCCCCCCGCCCAGCTCGCACACCCATCATGCGTGGGGATCTGATACAGATACTCCAGCGCAATCAGCACCTCGGAATAAACCAACATTCCCCTCCAGAACCTCGGGCCGGGAGACGGGTTCGACACGAGCGCGTACAGGAAGAGAGCGAGCGGGAACACGAGGGTGGAGAGGGAGAGGTTCCAGCAAAATGCGGTTACCATGAACGCGCCGGTTACCACGTCGCTGTTCGAGTGGAGGAGCCATCGCAGCCGGGAGAAGGCCCGGGGGCGGGTGGGGGAGGAGGGAGAGGGAGAGGGAAAGGTGGTGGCGACGGGAGTGGTGGTGAGGGCGGAGGAGGAGGAGAAGGGAAGGGAGGTGGTGGTTACATTGTTACCAACTGCTGGTCCTTCTGCTGCTGCAGCTGTTACACCTGTCCTTTCGACCATCCATTCTCCTGTCCGTTCTCCTCCCATGCCTTGACCCATCCCTTCTCCCACTGCCACTCCCCCTCCTCCAAATCCGCTCCCCCTATCCCTCCCCCTTGGGCCCTTCCCCTCTCCTGCTGTTACCGTCGACCCATGCCGACTCAACACAGCAGCTGCAGCTGCTTCTGCTGCTTCCAGGAACCCTCCTCCTGCTGCTATGGCAGCAGCAGCAGCCTCTGGTGCACTCAACGGCTTTTCAGAATTCTCAAAAGCAGACGGTGCTGCTGCTGGCTGAAACCCTCCTCCTGCTGCTATGGAAGCAGCAGCAGCAGCCTCAGAAGCACTCACCCCCCTCTCCTCCACTCGCTCTCCACTTTCCCCTCCCCTGCTCAACCCCTCAACAATTTCTCCCATTCCCTCTCCTGCAAACCCTGATGCTCCCACACCGCCATCACCAGTCACCGCCCCCTCCTCTACAATCTCATTCCCCAAAACGTCCCTCCGAACAGCACTGGCGTCTGATTGGCCCGATCCTTCTTCTAGCACAGCTGGCAGCGCATCGGCAACAGCTGACACATCCACCTCACTGCTGACAAGGCGTGTTTCTGGGAGGATGTCAGGGCACAGCGCTGCACTCAAAGTGTCTGGTCCTTCTTCTAGCACAGCTGGCAGCGCATCAGCCACAGCTGACACATCCACCTCACTGCTTATTAGGAGGATATCAGAGCTCTGTGCTGCACTCAAACTGTCTGGCCCTCCCTCCTTCCCCTCACTAGAAGAAGGATTGGGCCGATTGCAGCTACTGCTGTGCGGCCTGGCACTCGCAAGGAACCCCGCACTCTCACCTTCCAGCCGCTGAGATTGTGAGTCATAATCACCCACCGGAGTTTGAGTCCCCTCACAAGAAGAGGGATCAGGCCAATTGCAGCTACTGCTGCGTGGCCTGGCATTCGAAACAACACCCACACTTGAAACGCCAACACTACCCCCGTCTAGCCTACCCAGGCTACCCTCATAAAGACCACCACCAGAGCTGCTCAACCCTTCACTCCCCACACCTGTGACTCCCATCCCACCGCTCTCCACCGCACTCAACCCGAGCCTGCTCGCCCCGCCACCACCTCCATCGATTCTCACCGCACTCAACCCCGCTCCACCAATCTCCCCTCCTTCCGAATCCAAATCTAGCAGATCCTCTAGCCCCGCAATCACCATGGATTGCACCTGAGCCACCCCCTGGCCAATCATCTGCTGCATACCAGCCGGAATCAGCCGCCCGCTCCGCCGCCCGACCAGGCCCCCTGCCGCCCGCTTCCATCGGCTGATAGCGGCACCTGTGTTGGCGGTGCTGGGAGGGTGGGTGGAGGAAGCGCCAGGAGCAGAGGAGGAGGGAGGGGAGGAGAGGGATGATCCCCGTAACCTTACCTCTCTTGCTGCTGGTGGTACTGCTACTGAGGGTGATGATGTTGATGATGGTGGTATTGCCACTGCTACTGACATTCCTGGTGGCGCTGCTGCTGCTGCTGCTGCTGCTGCTGCTGCTGCTGCTGCCACTCCTGTGACTGGTGCTGCTCCTGTATCTGGGGAGACTGAAGGGGGTGCTGTTGCCACCCCCTCAACTCTCCCTCCCGCTTCTCCTCCTCCCCACACCTCCCCTTCCCTATCAACCAATCCCCTTCCAGAAGCAGCCCTAGCCCTCTCCATGACCGCGTTATAAGAGGGACCAGTACAAGCAGGAGGGAGCATGGGGGATTCTGTACTGTCAGACAGCACAGGACCCACGGGGGAGGGGCCAGCTGGGGGAGGTACAACTGGGGAGGTGGTGTTGGAGGAAGAAGGGTAGAGTAGGGGAAGGAAATACGTAGGGGAGGGTGAGGGAGTGGATAAGGTACTGGATGGTATGGGGTGAGGAGAGGAGAGTGCGGCGGGAGGAAGAAGGGCAGTGGGAGGGGGTTGACCTGCTGTGTTTGAAGTGGTTGATTGGGGTAGGTGGTATGTGGCACGAGCAGTGGTGGTGGTGGTAGTGACAACTTCAGCTGCTGCAGCAGCAGCAGCAGCACCACCACCGTAACCAGCACCATCTGCACCACTCTGGACCTCATTCTGAACAACTGCAGCTGCTGACGAATCACAAGGCAGATCCTCCCATCCACACCGCTGCACCGACCCTCGCCCCCCTCCTGCGCCACCCTCTCCCCTCTCCCCCCCTCCTCCTCCTCCCACCCTCCCCTGTGCCAGCATCAGTTGCAGCACCTGCTGCTGATGCTGTTGCGCCAGCCTAACCGCCCTGGACCCAGCCACACCCCCTCTCACACCAGGGCTTTCAGACTGAGGGAAGTTGAGGAGGGCGAGGTGGGAGTGGAGGCGGCGCATACCCTCCTTCATGCGCTGCACCTCCTCGCTGCGCTGCCGCCGCCTCTCCTCCGCCTGCTGCAGCTGCCGCAGATGCTCCCTCTGCCACGCCGCCACCATCTCTGCTGCTCTCTGCCTGTCCCGCTCCTGGTAGAAAGGGAAATGGGAGGGGGAGAGAGGTGGAGTGAAGTCACAGGGAGATAGGGAACCAGGGGGGCGTTGAGCTGCCGCAGATGCTGCCTCTGCCACGCAGCCACCATCTCCGCTGCTCTCTGCCTGTCCCGCTCCTGGTAGGGAACAGAGGGTGACGGGATGGGGGAGATAGAGTGTTGGAGGGGTGTTGAGCTGCCGCAGATGCTCCTGTTAGAAATAGTCAGTCAACACTTTGTACTATATTCTATATCGGTTAGGTTACTTTGTAGGTTGGGTGTAGATTTGTAATCCCAACCCTATCTGGTTGGGATTCCCTCGTAATCCTGCAAATCTGCCAACTCACCAATTGGAGATTTGCTAGGATTCCCATCCCATCCTTTCCCTAGCTTTGCTCAACCCAACCCTGTTTGTACTTAAGGCCTAGTGCCTTCCTTATCAAGCAATCAGTTCAGTTCCAATTCTATCAGCTCCCTCTGCCACGCCGCCACCGTCTCTGCCGCTCTCTGCCTGTCCCACCCCTGTTAGGAGAAGGGAGCAAAGGGGAGTAGAGGGACACGTGGGCGTTGAGCTGCCACAGATGCCCCCTGCCACGCCGCCAGCACCTTTCCTGCCCGCTGCCGTTCCCATTCCTGTGGGAAACAAAAGTGGCACAAACATGCTCCCACCACTCACCACCACACTGCTCTCATCTGGTTCACCCACCTACCCCTTCCTCTATCCCCCCCCTCCCCTTATCCATCTCCCCTTTTCTCTCATCCACCCACCACCACCGCACTGCACTCCTCTACTACACCTACCCTACCCGCCTACCCATGCCTCGTGCCTTGCCTCACCTCCTGCTTGCTGGAAGAGGTCGGATCTGAGGCTGTGAGCCAACAGGGTGATGAGCACAAGCACGCTCACACCCACCACCACCGCACTGCACTCCTCTGGTGTACCCACCTACCAATGCTGGTGCCTCACCTCCTGCTTGGTTGTGAAGAGCAGCACTTGCTGGAAGAGCTCCGATCGGAGGCTGTGAGCCAAGAGAGTGATGAGCACAAACATGGTCAGATCGACCACTGCACTCCTCGTGTCCATCCTCAGCCCATAGTCGTACTTATACAAACCGACTATACTAAACGGGTTGCATGACAGAGCGGGCAGGTACGGGAAATACGGGCACTGGTAGACCAGGGAAGCGGTGATTAGCAGGAAATTATACGCTCGGAGGTAGTTCAGAACCGTGGTCTGCCCTCGGAGAATCGCCGCGTGTTTTCTCGTGCTGAGAAGGGATAGGGCGAGGTAGCCGCAATGAAGGAGGTCGTATTGCAGGGTTCCTGTGGCGAAGACTAGTATGAGGACTATCCAGAGCAGGTATTTGTAGTAGAGGAATCTCCAGTGGTCCAGAAAGGTCCAGCTGGGTGAGGGCCCTTCTGAGAGATCGTGCCAGGGGGAGGCGGGAGGGTGTGGGGATGAGGAGGGGGATGGGTGGAGGGAAGGCGGAGGTGGGAAGGAGGGGCGGGGATTTTGGGGCGAGCGGGGGGTTGAGAGTGGAGGAAGAGGTGGTGGAGGGAGGGAGGTCCATCGGGTGAGGTGCGGTGTGGTGTCGAGTGGGAACGATGGGTTTGGATGGGTAGCGGAAGAAGAGTCGGAGGGAGAGGCGGAGGAGGAAGGGGAGAGGAGGAGGCAGGAGAGGAGGAAGACAATGAAGTAGGCGCAGAGAATGCGACGGTCGTCCACAATGCCACCTGCCAGCAAAGGGAGGTAGGGGACAAGGGATGAGGCGAGGTGCAAGAGGTGCAAAGTGTGCAGGCGTGGAAGGAAACTGGTGGAGTTCGAGAGAGGTTTTTCAGATATAAGAAATTGCTGAAAAGTCCTGGAACTGCATGAATATGAGAAGAGGTGGGAAGGAAGTGCATGAATATGAGAAGAGGTGGGAAGGAAGTGCATGAATATGAGAAGAGGTGGGAAGGAAGTGCATGAATATGAGAAGAGGTGGGAAGGAAGTGCATGAATATGAGAAGAGGTGGGAAGGAAGTGCATGAATATGAGAAGAGGTGGGAAGGAAGTGCATGAATATGAGAAGAGGTGGGAAGGAAGTGCATGAATATGAGAAGAGGTGGGAAGGAAGTGCATGAATATGAGAAGAGGTGGGAAGGAAGTGCATGAATATGAGAAGAGGTGGGAAGGAAGTGCATGAATATGAGAAGAGGTGGGAAGGAAGTGCATGAATATGAGAAGAGGTGGGAAGGAAGTGCATGAATATGAGAAGAGGTGGGAAGGAAGTGCATGAATATGAGAAGAGGTGGGAAGGAAGTGCATGAATATGAGAAGAGGTGGGAAGGAAGTGCATGAATATGAGAAGAGGTGGGAAGGAAGTGCATGAATATGAGAAGAGGTGGGAAGGAAGTGCATGAATATGAGAAGAGGTGGGAAGGAAGTGCATGATTACCGATGAAAGGAAAACGACTCAACCAACTCAACTCCCACAACCGCAGCTCAACGCACCCAGCCAGCCACAACGCACAAGGGGTCGTGTTTTGAGTCGACTCACCCAACCCAACCCCAACTCACCAGCAATTCCAGTGCATCCATTTCTTACCTAAACGCACCCAACCCAACCGCAGCAAACTCGACTCATCCAGCCAGCAGTCCCAGCAGGTGGGGTCCTGTGAGTCTGTGCTGAGCCAGCAGTCCTGGCAGTTGCGGCTTTGCGTCTTGGCCGGGTGAGGCCGCCTGTTGAACCTCTTCGTTCCTGTTGAGTGCTTCTCCTTCACACCCATTTTGTACCTATATGCACCCAGCCCAACCGCACTCACCAAGCCAGCAGTCCCAGCAGGTGGGGTCCTGTGAGTCCGTGCTGAGCCAGCAGTCCTGGCAGTTGCGGCTGTGCGTCTTGGGCGGGTGGGGCCGCCTGTCGATGTTGAAAAACACCCCACCGCTGTTGAACAGTCCATCGCTAAATTTATGAGCCCAGTTGCCAAGCGCGCTCTGACCAGGACTATTGGGGGAATAGGCAGGCGGATTGAAGGGAGAGCTAGGGTGTGGTTGTGGGGAGAAGGGGAAAGAGCTAGGACGTGGCTGTGGTGGAAAGTAGAGAGAGCTGAGATGTGGCTGCAGCCGGAGGACGACACCCAGAAGCGAACGCTGGTTGTCTTGAGGGGACTGGGGATTCAGTAGCGTTCCAGGCTTGTCCAAGGGAGGGGGTCTAGAAAAGTAGTGAAAGGAACGGGATACAGGAGGGGTGTGCATGGGAGGGGATGCAGGGGGATGGTTGAAGGGAGGGGGGCCGGCGAGCATGTAGTACTGCCAGAGGGTGATTGCAGCGAAGGTGACTACAAGGAGCGGCCAGAGCAGGCGCACGAGGCGGGGAGGGAGAGCGATGCAGAGGCCAACGATGGATGTGTAGAGCAGCGAGACGATGTTCTTGACTGCGAAACTGGCGACCAGCAGGAAGAGCACGACCACCTGCAGGCGAATGGGAGGGAAAGGATAGGGGAGTAAAGAGGGGTTTTGATAAACAGACTGCTGTGTGGAGCAGCGAGACAATGTTCTTGACTGCAAAACTGGCGACGAGGAGGAAGAGCAGGACCACCTGAGGAGGGAATGGGAGGTGGGATGGGAGGAAACGGAACAGCATCACAGGCGCAGCTCAGGCACGGAGGGGTGAGGTGGAGAGGGAGGGCGATGCAGAGGCCGACAACTGCTGTGTAGAGCAGCGAGACAATTTTCTTGACTGCGAAACTGGCGACCAGCAGGAAGAGAACGACCACCTGAGGGGGGTGGGTGGGGAGGAATGGATGGTGTGTGGAGGGGGTTTGATAAACAGAGGGGTAAAGAGCAGCGAGTCAATGTTCTTGAGTGAGAACCTGAAACTCAGAGCGAAAAGAAGGCGCTTATGTAAAGAAATCCGTAGGGTGAAAACAAAGGAGCTTACGTGGAATCCATACAGTGAAAAGAAGTATGCTGCTGAGTTCTCCACCCATGCCCACATAGATTGTTGAGTTGACTCACGAAAATTGGCACAAACAAACTCTCAACTCAAGGCAAATTCCCGCACCTGAACTCCATAGAGCGAGAAGAAGGAGCTTATGTGAACTCCTCAAAGAAAAGTGAAGGTGCTTACGTGAAATCCGTAGATTGAAAAGAAGTGTGCCACTGTGTTTTGCACCGCAGCCCACATCGACCGCAGCTGCTGCCTCGACGAATCGACACAAGCCAAGGCAAAGCCCGCACCTGAACTTCATAGAGCGATAAGAACAAGGCGCTTACGTGAAATCCGTAGAGTGAGAAGAAATGTGCCACTGTGTTTTGCACCGCTGCCCACATCGACCGCAGCTGCTGCCGATACCGCCGCGCCTCCTCTGATTGGTCCTCCTCATCCTCATCCTCCTCATCATATTCATCCTCCTCATCAAATTCATCATCATACGCAGATCCAATCTTATCAATCCCCCCTGTGCCCCTGCCATTTTTCCCTTCCTCTGTCTTCCCCTTCTCACTCTTCCCCGCCCCCTCCCCCTCCCCCTCACCCTCCTCTTCCCCCTCTTCCACGCTACATGCCTGAACCTCAACCTCCTCCTCATGCCGTTCCAGGGAAGCACCACTTACTGCCTTCTCGCCTCGCCTCCAAGACCCTCCGAGAGAGAAAACAGAGGAGGAGATTGAGGAAGAGGAGGAGGCAGAGGAGGAGACATCAGCAGCACCTCGTGCTCGTTTCTCCAAGTCCCCCACACTCCACGACCGGAAGCTAATCAGCTTATATGCCCGTTTTGATCCCCCTCCACCTCCACCTCCTCCTTCCCCGGCTCTCCCAATCTGGCTTTGGGGAGGGGTGAAATCCTTCAGTGCGTCCTTCTCTGTGCTGTCTCCTCCTCCCCCTCCTCCCCCTCCTCCCCTTCCTCCTCCTCCTCCTCCTCCTCCTCCTCCTCCTCCTCCTCCTCCTCCTCCTCCTCCTCTTCCTCCTCCTCCTCCCCCCCCTTCCCCTCCTCCTCCCACCTCTCCTCCTCCCCCTCCCACTCCCCTCCCTAATCCTCCCTCCTCTCCCCCTCTCACCGTCATCTCCTCTGCATGCACCGAAGCAGCATGCCGAGCCGCAGCCACAGCTTCGGGAGGCACAAACAGCATGCACAGCTCGCGCTTAGGGTCGGCCCGAAGCTCCGGAGGAAGCTCGGCAAGCCAGTGGCAGGAGGCATGGTGGAGCAGGCAAGCTGCTAGGAGCACCGATTTGGCAGTACAACCAGACGTTAAAGCCCACATTCGCCCTCCTGCTACAGTGCTAATAGCAGTGTCTTCATATAAGACAAGGCCCAGCCACTGCACAACAGGAGATGAGGCATGAGGCAAGAAAAAACGACGATTTTTAGGTGCTTCAGAATAGAGCTACAGTGCAACTAATAGCAGTGTCTTCATATAAGCCCAGCCATTTGAACAAGAGGAGATGCGGCATGGGGGATGCTTTTGAGTCGACTCAAAAGAGGAGATGCGGCATGGGGGATGCTTTTGAGTCGACTCAAAAGAGGAGATGCGGCATGGGGGATGCTTTTGAGTCGACTCAAAAGAGGAGATGCGGCATGGGGGATGCTTTTGAGTCGACTCAAAAGAGGAGATGCGGCATGGGGGATGCTTTTGAGTCGACTCAAAAGAGGAGATGCGGCATGGGGGATGCTTTTGAGTCGACTCAAAAGAGGAGATGCGGCATGGGGGATGCTTTTGAGTCGACTCAAAAGAGGAGATGCGGCATGGGGGATGCTTTTGAGTCGACTCAAAAGAGGAGATGCGGCATGGGGGATGCTTTTGAGTCGACTCAAAAGAGGAGATGCGGCATGGGGGATGCTTTTGAGTCGACTCAAAAGAGGAGATGCGGCATGGGGGATGCTTTTGAGTCGACTCAAAAGAGGAGATGCGGCATGGGGGATGCTTTTGAGTCGACTCAAAAGAGGAGATGCGGCATGGGGGATGCTTTTGAGTCGACTCAAAAGAGGAGATGCGGCATGGGGGATGCTTTTGAGTCGACTCAAAAGAGGAGATGCGGCATGGGGGATGCTTTTGAGTCGACTCAAAAGAGGAGATGCGGCATGGGGGATGCTTTTGAGTCGACTCAAAAGAGGAGATGCGGCATGGGGGATGCTTTTGAGTCGACTCAAAAGAGGAGATGCGGCATGGGGGATGCTTTTGAGTCGACTCAAAAGAGGAGATGCGGCATGGGGGATGCTTTTGAGTCGACTCAAAAGAGGAGATGCGGCATGGGGGATGCTTTTGAGTCGACTCAAAAGAGGAGATGCGGCATGGGGGATGCTTTTGAGTCGACTCAAAAGAGGAGATGCGGCATGGGGGATGCTTTTGAGTCGACTCAAAAGAGGAGATGCGGCATGGGGGATGCTTTTGAGTCGACTCAAAAGAGGAGATGCGGCATGGGGGATGCTTTTGAGTCGACTCAAAAGAGGAGATGCGGCATGGGGGATGCTTTTGAGTCGACTCAAAAGAGGAGATGCGGCATGGGGGATGCTTTTGAGTCGACTCAAAAGAGGAGATGCGGCATGGGGGATGCTTTTGAGTCGACTCAAAAGAGGAGATGCGGCATGGGGGATGCTTTTGAGTCGACTCAAAAGAGGAGATGCGGCATGGGGGATGGGAAAATCATCTCTGAGGGTAATGGTGCAGCAACAATGGTGCTTTCTTCTTACAAGCCAAGGCTTAGTCACTGCACAAGAGGAGACCCCACAATCTTTGCCACCCACTCACCTGCAGATCGCGCTGTGCTGCTCCACCCATGCCGCCAGCCCCCACTGCACCACCACCACCTGGAACCCAACCCCCAAACCAAACCCCTTGGCCTTAAACCCTAAGCCCTGACAGAATCGTGCTGTCAACCACCCACCTGCAGAATCATGCTGTGCTGCTCCACCCATGCCGCCAACCCCCACTGCCACCACCACCTGGAACCCAACCTCCAAAGTCATCAACTTTAACCCCCCTGCCCTTAAACCCTCAGCCCTATTCATGCCCCTCACCTGCAAAATCGTGCTGTGCTGTTCCACCCATGCCGCCAGCCCCCACTGAGCCACCACCACCTGGAACCCAAACTCCGCTACCAGTGCTGCCCCTCCATATAAGAACATCCACCTCGGCGCCGTGCCCCTCACAGCCCTCAGCCTCACACACCCCAACACCGCCAGCAGCAGGAACCCAAACCCTATCGCGCTGACAGGATACAGAGCAGCGAAAAACGCCGCGCAGGGGAGGGCGGTGGGGCAGTGTAGGATGAGCAGGCGCTTGAAAAATGACACCCAACCGAAGAAGCCTATAAGGGGGTATTGTTCGTGAGACCAGGAGATGACTGGGGGTGGAGTGCTGGTTGCCCCTGCTGCTGCCGAACCTCCAGGTTCGGCGACTGGTTCGGGTGCCGAAGCTTCTCCTGCTGCTGTTGCTGCAATGGCAGCATCAACCGCAGAACCACCAGCAGCAGCAGCAGAAGCAGCAGCAGCAGCAGCAGGCGGGAAGTGAAAGGATTTCGAGCCCTTGGCACTGAGATGGAGCTTTCGAGAGGGAGGGGCGGAGAGGAGAGGAACCGTGGTAGCATGTGCTGCTGCTGCCTGTGCACCTGATACCTGCCTCCTTAGCTGACTGGCAGCGTGTGCTTGAGAATCATGCTGCTGTTGCTGTTGCTGCTGCCCCTGTTGCTGCACATTTGGAAACGCCTCAAAGCAGAAATAAGCGCGAAGGCAGATCAGCAACGTGGTGCAATCAGCAGTTGCCACGTGGACAGGCGTCCCCAAGGGAGCAAACAACCCAAGCCGCTCCAGAACAGACAAATCGATCCCAAATTGGGCGGCTAAGATGGATCGAAGCTCGGGGTACAAGCTACAGTACCGAAGCAGGAGCACCGTAGCTGCAAATGAGGCGGTCAGTGGCGCCATGTAGGCTCGGAGAGCTGTTGCGGAGGTACGGAAGGCGGAGGTTCGGGAAGAGGAGTGCAACGCAGAGGAGGATCTTTCGGCGTGGGAGGAGGTCTGGTGTGAGGCTTGGGAGGAGGTTCGGGAGGAGGATGGCCAAAGAAAGAGCCAGACCCAGGTAATGAGGAGCAGGAGGAAGCAGAGGGAGACAGCAGACGGGTGCATATGGGTTAGAATGGTGAAGAATGCGGTGAGGATGAAGTAGGTGTTGGCCTCTGTTGCTAAGGCAGAAGGGTACGCCAAGCAGAGATACGGCCCTGCATACATGCATGAAGGGGGGTTGAGAAATTGAAAACGAAGGGATTTTTCACTTCAGGGGTACGCCAAACCACCTCTGAAATAGATCAAGGCAGAGGGGTATGCCAAGCAGAGATATGGCCCTGCATGCAAGGCAAGCAGAACAAACCAATGGAAGCGTGGGGAATTGAGAATGTGAGCATAACATATGAGGCGCTTAGGAAAAACGCAGTGAGAATAACATATGAGGCGCTTAGGAAAAACGCAGTGAGGATAACATATGAGGCGCTTAGGAAAAACGCAGTGAGGATAACATATGAGGCGCTTAGGAAAAACGCAGTGAGGATAACATATGAGGCGTGTTGTGCAGCAAGTATTTCCCAGAGGGTGGATTCTCACCTTCAGTCTTAGAGGTCGTGGGTTCAATTCTCAGCAGCTGCACTTTCCATTCTCCTTATGCCCCACATTACATGTCCACACTCCACCACACTCCACCACAGTGAAGTGTGGTCACAGTTGGCATTGCCACCTGTCCACTCATCCCACACTCACTTTGCTGGCCTCTATGGTGTGCCATATGATGTTATGTGGGCTGTTGTTCCGGTCTGGCCCACATGTGCAACATGTGGCCTCACTTGCTAGCTTGGCAAGGTTGGCTAGCCTTGCCCTCAGCATTGAGGTGCTGCAGCTAGCCCCAAGAGTTCAGCCACATATATGTGGCTTCCCACTTCACTAGATATCATCCTTGGACAAAGACCTTGCTCTAGTCTTTAAGACTTATACCATTTTCTTGCTAAGGATATTTCTTCTTCCTATCGTGCCATAAGTTCACCGATCCATTTTCTTCATGCTATCAGAGCTAGGCTTCTAGCTTTGTGAACGTCGCACACTTGATGGCTAAAGTTGAGACGCCTCTCGGTCGGCACACCCTTCCTATCATGGAACCGGATGGTTCCAACTTCATTCCATGGAAGAAAAATATATGTTACATCTTCAATGTCCTTGGGCTGATCTCCCTTCTTGGAGATCCCAAGGTTGCTGCCCGCCCTTCCATTTCCTCTTCCACAACCAGCAGTGGAGATGCTACTGAAGGCAACAATGGTGCAGCCCCTAAAACAGCCCATTCGATTGCGTCGCTGCCGGATGAAGAAAGGAGAACCATGCGTACTATCTTCTCATGTCAGCCGTCCATCCTCAGCTCTCGCTAACACTTGCTCAAGCCAACACGACGAAGGATATGTGGGGATGCATCATGGCGCGGTTTGACTGCATGGGTAACCATGCACAAGTGGCTCTCCTCCGAGATCTCATCACTACACGGATGGACCCAACAATGAGTCTTCGCTCCTACTTCGATCGAGTTGGAAATCTCACGCACCAACTCAAATCTGCCGGCTTCGAGCTACCATCTTGGGTGGTGGTAATCTCCATCATTCTCAATCTGCCGGACTCCTTCAAGACTCCCACAGAAACTATTTGCACCGTGAAAGACATCAAGTCTATGACGGTTGAATACCTGCAGTCACGACTACTCGATGCCGATTGGGAGCGGTCACAATCTGGTACAAGCCGCAACATGGAAGGTGCATACAACCTCCATTCCCAGCCCTCCCACCCTATTCGCTCCGGTTCCCGCCAGTCCCCTACTTGCCGCTACTGCAAGAAAACCGGCCACACCATTGACGAATGCTTCAAGTTGAAGAAGAAAGAGCTCGAAGAAAGCTCTCGACGGGAGAAATCTGTCATCCAGCCTTCGGTGCATGTGTCAACAAGCTCCTCCGCCGACATCCCTTCGATCTCCACAACACCTACTGCCCCATCAGCCCCTCAGTCCGTACCTAATTCCCGGTACGTTGACATTGCTTTCAGCACCAGCCACCGCCCCATCCTCCCCACCTGGACTCCTCTCGTCGCTGCTGTCTTCATCTTCACCATCCTCCTCCTCCTCCTCCTCTTCCCTTATGGTGCTCCCTACGCATCGGCACTCACAGCCTCTTCCTCAAACATGATCCGGACTTCTTCCTGGCTGGTGGACAGCGGCGCATCTTCCCATATATCCTCCGATCGCTCGTTGTTTTCATCTCTCCAGCAGCCAACTGATGATATTATCGTTCGTTTTGGTGGTGGAGAAACTTACAAAGTCTTGGGAGTCGGCACGGTGGTGGCTACTCTTCGCTCACAAACCTCGGAGACCACCATCCAGCTAGACAACGTTCTGTTTCTCCCTTCATCAGTTCACAACCTCCTCTCGGTTCGTGCACTTGGAGCTGCCGGCATTGCCGTTTCCTTCCCCACTGCAGGGCGGGTTGAGCTCAAAACTGATGCGGCTCATATCGGCGAGGGCTTTACCCGCAACAATCTGTTTTATCTTCAGCTGCATCATGGGAGCAGTGCCGCCCCCCCCATCAACCCCACGGCATGTCCAGTCTCCACCACCACCTCCTCATACCTTTGGCATCGCCGTTTCGGGCATCTTAACATGCGGGACCTGTCAACACTTCATAGGCAGCAGCTGGTCACCGGTCTTAACCTCTCCTCCTCCTCGATTCCCCAATGCATCTCGTGCTATCGTGGGAAACAAACGTGTCAACCATTTGGCGTGTCCCATTCTCGCACCACAGCACCGCTCCAACTCATTCATTCGGATATTGCTGGACCATTTTCATATGGAACTACCATTGGAGGCGCTCGCTACCTTCTCACCTTCATCGACGACTATTCCCGCCACATTACCGTGTATCTCCTACGCCATCGTTCAGAGGCATTTTCATGCTTCAATGATTACGTCACTCGGGTGCACAATATGCATTCCCCAAGGACCATCAAAGCGTTTCGCTCCGATGGTGCCTTGGAGTTCAATTCCGACGCCTTCACTTCATTCCTTAAAGCTCATGGCATCGCTCGACACCGTTCTACGCCGTACACACCCGAGCAAAATGGAGTTGCTGAACGCGCCAATCGGACTATACTTGAGATGGTCCGTTCCATGCTTCATGACGCACACATGGACAAAGGATGGTGGGGTGAAGCCGCTCTCACTGCTGCCTATCTCCGAAATCATGCCATTAGTCGGGGTGGTTCAACTTCTAAGACTCCCATAGAACTATGGACCGGTGCACGTCCGGACGTATCACACCTCCGCATCTTCGGTTCACCCGTTTCAGTCTTCATTCCTCCGCAACGGCGCTCTAAGCTCGACGACCGAAGCACGGCCGGCATCATGGTTGGGTATGGTCATCTTGACGGCACCAAGGCTTATCGCATCTATATCCCATCTCAGCACCGTGTCACACTTTCTCGTGATGTCATCTTCATGGAGCACTCTTCGCCACCTTCCGATGACCCTCGAGAACCTCCATCGTCATCTCCACCACCCATATCATCATCTCCGCCTCCTCCCCCACCCCCTTCCCTCTCAGCCCCAACCTCCCCTCCCTCTCCTTCACCACACATGCCCTCTTCCACCACCCTCCTCCCACCATCTCCAACTCTGCCCGCACCAGCCACCTCTTCTCCTCCTCCTTTGTTTTCCAACCTTCCTCTGCCCTCGACGCCGCAAGACTTCCGCCTTCCATCCCTCTCCTCTCCTTCTTCAGCTCGTCCTCCCCCTTGCACCTCTAGTTCCTCACCACCATCCCCTTCAGCTCCTTCCACTCTTTCACTTTTCTCACTGCTCAAGGTCTTACCGTCTCCTTCTGAACCCATTGACTTCACCCTTCCTCCTCTTTCCAAGACATCCGCTAATGCCGCCCTTCATCATCATTATGAACCTCAAACCATTCATGAGGCCCGCACTGGCCCTGATGCTGCTGAATGGATCAAGGCTGCTGATGCGGAACTCGCTGCCCTGCAAGCTAATGACACTTACAGCGTTGTTCCTCGACCACCCAAGTGCAAGCCGATTCCATGCAAATGGATTTTCAAGGTAAAGGAGCATGCTGATGGTTCTATCGAACGTCGCAAGGCCCGCCTTGTTGTCAAAGGTTTCAAACAACGCGACGGTGTTGATTTCCATGACACCTTTGCTCCTACCGTCCGCTTCGCCACCCTCCGCCTCTTCCTCACCATTGCTGCCGCTTTCGACCTGGAAGTCCATCAGCTGGACATTTCCAACGCCTTCCTCAACGGCACTCTTGATGAAATTCTCTACATGATGCAGCCTCCCGGTTATGAACTTCCGGCGGTCCATGGTGTTGAGCAAGTTTGTCTCTTGCACAAACCGTTGTACGGGTTGAAGCAAGCGCCGCGGTGCTGGTACCGCAAACTTCGTGAAGAGCTTGCTGCCTTTCGCCTTTTTGCTGCCCGTGCGGACCCCGGCCTCTTCATTGCTCCTCCTCAATCTCCTTATCGGCCTACAGCTGCATCCTTCTTCATGCTTCTCGTCTATGTTGACGACCTCATCATTCTTTCCTCCTCCTCTTCTCTTCTTTCCTCCTTCAAGCGTGCCCTTTCATCTCGCTTCAAGCTTCGTGACCTCGGTCCTCTTTCCTACTACCTTGGCTTTCACATCACTCGTGATCGGACCTCCCGCACTCTCCACCTTCATCAATCCAAATTCATCACCTCCATTTTAGACACCTACTCACTCACTCCACTTAACCCTGCTGCCACCCCCATGGACACCAAGTTTCAGTTGCCCGTGACTTCCTCCCCACACTCCTCCTCCTTTCCTTACACCTCGTTTGTCGGATCCATCATGTATGCCATGGTGGGTTCCCGTCCCGACCTCGCATATAGCGCTGGAGTTCTTGCTCGTCACCTTCATGATTGGTCTACTCCACACGTCTCGGCTGCCAAACGCGTTGCTCGCTACTTGAAAGGGACTACCTCACTTGGGCTTCTCCTTGGCGGCATTCCCAACGCCCTTGAACTTCATGGGTGGTGTGACGCCTCTTGGGGACCGGAGGGAGAGCTCCGACGCTCCGTTACGTGCTACTTGTTCTTCCTCGGTCCGTCACTCATCTCTTGGAAGTCCAAACGTCAAGCTGTCGTCGCTACCTCTTCCTGTGAAGCTGAATATTATTCTCTGGGCGTCGCGGTGCATGAGGCATTATGGCTTCGATCCCTCCTTACCGCACTTGGACTTCCCCCAACCGGCTCCACCCGCATCTCGTGTGACAACAATAGTGCCATCATTCTGGCCACGGACGACGGCGTCTTTCATCCCAAGGCCAAGCACATCGACATCAAGCACCATTTCATTCGTGATCATGTTGCTGACCACTCCGTTACCCTTCTCTATGTTCCTACTCAAGACAACCTCGCTGACATTGGCACCAAGCCTTTGCCCCGTGACCCTTTTCTTCGCATCCGTGGTCTTCTCGGTCTCACCCATGTCTCCGCTTAAAGGACCCTACCCCGGGGACATCCTTGAGGGGGGGTGTTGTGCAGCAAGTATGTCCCAGAGGGTGGATTCTCACCTTCAGTCTTAGAGGTCGTGGGTTCAATTCTCAGCAGCTGCACTTTCCATTCTCCTTATGCCCCACATTACATGTCCACACTCCACCACACTCCACCACAGTGAAGTGTGGTCACAGTTGGCATTGCCACCTGTCCACTCATCCCACACTCACCTTGCTGGCCTCTATGGTGTGCCATATGCTGTTATGTGGGCTGTTGTTCCAGTCTGGCCCACATGTGCAACATGTGGCCTCACTTGCTAGCTTGGCAAGGTTGGCTAGCCTTGCCCTCAGCATTGAGGTGCTGCAGCTAGCCCCAAGAGTTCAGCCACATATATGTGGCTTCCCACTTCACTAGATATCATCCTTGGACAAAGACCTTGCTCTAGTCTTTAAGACTTATACCATTTTCTTGCTAAGGATATTTCTTCTTCCTATCGTGCCATAAGTTCACCGATCCATTTTCTTCAAGGCGCTTAGGAAAAACGCAGTGAGGATAACATATGAGGCGCTTAGGAAAAACGCAGTGAGGATAACATATGAGGCGCTTAGGAAAAACGCAGTGAGGATAACATATGAGGCGCTTAGGAAAAACGCAGTGAGAATAACATATGAGGCGCTTAGGAAAAACGCAGTGAGGATGAGGTTGGTGTTGGCCTCTGTTGCCAAGGCAGAGGGGTATGCACTTAGAGCTTTGAGACGTCTCAAAACTCTAAGGCAGAGGGGTATGCACTTAACGCACTTAACAAAACAACGAACTTACGTCACAGTCTGCACATGCCACCAGACTTACAGGGAGGGCCCTTGGAGGGCGGCAGGAGGAGTCTGTCTGGGTGCGGCTTTAACTGAAGAGCTGCGGCCATGGGAGGCGGGCAGGAGGCAGCTAGTTACCCACAACACACCTCAGCACCTCACAGTACAACTCGCACACGGTGCCCCCCCCCCCCCAAACTCACACACTCACACACACACACAAACACACACACACACACACAGATTCATACTCAAGCACACATACAAACACACACACACACTCACACACACTATCACACAGACACACTCACTCACACACACACCATCACACACACACACACACATACACACACACACATACGCACACACACTCACATGGTGGGCCTTTGGAGGGAGGCAAGAGGAGACTGTCCGGGTGCGGCTTTAACTGAAGAGCCGCAGCCATGGGAGGCGGGCAGGAGGCAGCTAGCTCAAGTAACGGCCACGGGAAGGGGCGGTGGGGGAGAGAGTGTGTGGCGGAGAGGGATTTCTGCAGGGAGGAGCGGGCGCGGGCCATGGCGTAGGCGAGAACGAGGATGCCCGCTGGAGGGGTGATGACCTGGGGGGTCAGGGCAGGGGGGATGCCTGGGAACAGGGGGGAGGAGGGGCGGGGAATGGGGAAAGACAGATCAGGGAGCAAGGTTATTTCTGAGATGTCAGAAAGGCTTGGGCAGGAGGCAGCTAGCTCGAGCAGCGGCCTTGGGAAGGGGTGGTGGGGGAGAGAGCGCGTGGTAGCAAGGGATTTCTGCAGGGCGGAGCTGGCGCAGGCCATGGCGTAGGAAAGAAAGAGGATGCCCGCTGGAGGGGTGTTGGCCTGGGGGGTGAGGGCAGGGGGAATGCCTGGGGATGAGGGGGAGGGGCGGGGAGGCAGGAAGGGAAGAGCAGGGAGAGAGGTGAAGATTTAGATATCTGAAATTTGCACAGGCAGGAGGAAGCTAGCTCGAGCAGCGGCCACGGGAAGGGGCGGTGAGGGAGGGAGTGTGTGGTAGCAAGGGATTGTTGCAGGGAGGAGCGGGCGCGGGCCATGGAGTAGGCAAGAAAGAGGATGCTGGCTGGAGGGGTGATCGCCTGAGGGGTGAGGGCAGGGGGAACGCCTGGAGATGGGCGGAAGGGGAGAGAAAATTCAGAGGAGATTGGTAAGACGGGTGGAGAGCTGCAGGGAGGAGCGGGCGCGGGCCATGGCGTAGGCAAGCAGTAGGATGCCTGCTGGAGGGGTGATGGCCTGGGGAATCAGGGCGGGGGGGGTGCCTGGGGATGGAGGGGAGGGGAGCGGTGGGGAGTAAGGGAAGGAAGAGGAGGGCGCAAGGTGAAGTTTGAAGGTAAAAGGATCAGTGGTGGTAAAGAGCAGTAGCAGGTGCAGCAGAACTTGGCCGGGACGCCTAATATAAAGTTGGATGAGAGGGGAGGACTTACCAAGGAGTGACAGCAGAGCCTTCCAGTAAGTGGGAAGCGGAGATGAGCCAAGACAGGGTCAGCAGCAAAGAGGAGACTACGACAAGGAGTAGAGAGCAAAGACAGGGACAGCAAAGAGCAGCAGCAGGTGCAGCAAGGAGGAGACTACGACAAGTGAGGAGAGAAGACTCACAAGTTGGTTACTGAACTCACCAAGGAGTGACAGCAGGGCTTTCCAGTAAGCGGGCAGAGGGAGACGAGCCAAGGCAGGGTCAGTAGCAGCAAAGAGCAGTAGAAGATGCAGTGAGGAGTAGGCGATGCAGGCTGAGTAGACGGCATGGGCCCGTGAGGGGTAGACCAGCAGCATCACCAGCAGCAACACTGCCATCATGATAGCAGCGCATAAAGGGGTTTGCAAGGGTGGAAAAAGATAGAGAAAACAATTTTGATGCGCCTCAAAAGATGGAAAAACGGCCTGCGTTCTCTCAAATTACACCATATGGGGTAGACCAGCAGCTACACCAGCAGCAGCACTACAGCAGTACACATACACAGGCGGACAGGCGGGCAGCCCAGAGACCCTGCCACCGCTTGTACCGCACCCTCATGTGACATGACATGCATGTGCATGTACGTTATGAACTGCACATACCATACGGGGCGCGCAGGAGGGCGAGCTTATCTGCCGCATGGACAAGCACGAGGAGGACAAAGGCAGAGAAGGCAAGCAGACGGGCAGCCCAGAGGGAGAAGGAGAGCAGGAAGCACAGCCACCCATCAAGCCCTGCTCCTGCCAGTTCCGCTGCCACTTCTGCTGCCACTGCATCTTTGCCCTGTGCTGCTGCTGGCATAGCCATTGCTTCGCCACCACTGCTGATCCCTCCCGTATTGTCACCCCTGTCAATGCTCCCTGCTGCAGAAACAGCAGAAGCATCTGCAGCAGAGGTGGAAGAGGAAGAGGAGGCAGTAGAGGCAGAGGAGGAGGAGGAAGAGGAGGCAGTAGAGGCAGAGGAGGAGGAGGAAGAGGAGGCAGTAGAGGCAGAGGAGGAGGGAGAAGAGGCAAGCATGGCGGTGCAGGCTAAGACATAGGCTGTGAGGAGGAGTGCTGTGGTGAAGTGGAAAGCAAGGGGGAGGGCTGGATTGGGGAAGCGATGCAGCCCAATAGTTTGGCAGATGGTGGCCTGGAGGGCAAGAGGGAGCGAGGGAGGAGAGAGGAGAGGCATGAGAGGAAAGAGGGAAGAGATGAAGAGGCAGGCTCACAGAGCAATAAACTGCTGCAAGTTTACGGAGAATTCACTTTTGAGACGTCTCAAAATAAACTGATCCACTTCGACAGAGCAATAAACTACTGCAAGATTACAGGGAATTCACTTTTGACTTACAAGAGGAGTGGAGCGTTTTGAGACTTACAAGAGGATTTTTTCTAGACTGCAGCTCGCCTAAACAAGCTTCTATGGCTGAAGTTTACAAAGAATTCACTTTTGACTTACAAGAGGAGTGTAGCGGGTGAGATATTAACGAGGTAGGATGCTATCAGCCATGCGAGCAGATAGAGCAGGAGGCAGCCTCTCGGAGCAACAAAGCGGCAAGCCAAGTATTTACAGTTGACTTACAAGAGAAAGGAATGGAGCAGGCGTGATGTTAACTAGGTACGATGCTATAAGCCACGCGAGGAGATAGAACAGGAGGCATCGGTGGGTGTTGCAGAGAGTGGTGGTTGAGGGGGAGGAGACGAGGAGGAGTATGAGGGAGAAGAGGAGAGGCCAGGCGAGGAGGCAGTGAAAGGAGAGGCAGAAGAAGACAAGTGATGCCATGCAGATGGCAGGGCCGAAAACGACCAGGGTGGCACAGAGCCGCTGGGATGTGGACGACCTGGAAGGGGATAGAGGGGTTGAGAGAGGTGGAGTGGGTTGTGTGAGAAGAGAACAGATGCAGAACGCGTTTTCTGAAAGTTGACCGACAGAGGGATGACGTGCCATGCACTCAGTGAGAATTCATTCACATGTGGATTCCCTTGGAGACATAGGGGTTGAGAGAGACGGAGTTGGGTTGAGTGTGCAGTTGCGACATGGTGGGTGGGAAGGAGAGGAATAGGAGGCAGGGTGCCGGAAAACGCTGAAGGCATTGACAGATGGCCTGTTGTAGCTCACCACACCACAACAAGGCAGAGAGAGCAAGGCAGAGAGAGAGGGAGAGCTCACCACGACAGTGCGGTAAACTGGCGTCTGAGCCTCTTCCCATTGTCATCCTCAACATCTGCAGGGTCGCTTTCTTCCCCCATCAACTCCTCTACTCTTGAAGCACTGCCTGCTCCCAGCTGCCTCAACGGGACATCCCTCTCCCCCGTCCAATTCCCCCCTTTCTCTCCTCTCTGCTGCTCCCTGCTCTCAACCTTACTCCTCGCCTGTGCCCCCCCTCTCCACTGCACACCTCCCCCCACACCTGTCCCTCTCACTCTAGCAGCTAGCGCTCTTGCAGCTACCTCCTCCTGTTGCTCCAGCTCCCATTCCCCTCCCCCACCCTCCTCCTCCTCCCCCTCCTCCCCAGCCGCATCCTCCCCTTCCTCCTCCTCCTCCTCCTCAATCACCTGATACAGAATCTGGGATGCTTCCGAAGCTAGAAGAGGCAGGCTCGGCCTGAGCAAGGCGGAGGTTTGGGAGGAATTTTGGGGGAAGTGGCTGGGGGTTGGGTGCAGGTGCAGGCGAGCGTGGGACGAGGGTGGGCGGGAGGAGGGCCGAGTGCGGGAAGAATGATGGGAGGAAGCGAGGGAGCGATGGGAAGACAGCTGGTGTGAGGGAGGGAGAGATTGGAAAGGGAAGAGAGGAGAAGGGATGGGGAAGAACAAAGTCCAAGAGGCTGAGTCACAGAGGGGAGCTGAAGGGAGAGGAGAACTTGGCAATGAGGAGCAAGACAGACGATATGGATAAACACACACAGAGCCCCCCACACACACACACACACACGCACGCATGCATGCACACACACCCACCAGTGCGAAGGCGGAGAGCAGGAGAGCCGTTTCCAGCACATGCAGCAACTGCTGCCGATCCAGAATCTCCCTCACGTCCAATTGGAAGAGGCCAAGTGTCTGACCCCACTGCTCGAAGGGCCACCATTGCTGTGAGAGAGGCAGCTGGAAGAGGAACAGGGCGATGATGTGCAGAGCAATGTAGGCGCGCAGTAGGGCACGGCGCCTGAAGGGGAGGGGAGCGGTGGTAGAGAACAAGGTAAGGAGTGAGACAGAGAGGGATATGGAAGGGAGAGGCAGCTGGAAGAGGAAGAGTGCGAGGGACGTGCAGAGCAACATAGGCGTGCAGCAGAGCACGGCGCCTGAAGGGGAGGGGAGCGGCGGTAGAGAACAAGGTAAGGAGTGAGACAGAGGAAGAGGGCGAGGATGTGCAGTGTCGGCGCGCAGTAGAGCACGTCGCCTGGAGGGGAGGGGAGAGTGGTAGAGAACAAGGTACGGTGTGAGACAGAGAGGGATATGGAAGAGATAGGAAGCCTGAAGTGGAAGGAAGAGGGCGAGGATGTGCAGAGCACTGTAGGCACGTAGCAGAGCACGGCGCTTGATCCATGCTCAGAAACGGGGAAAAGGGAAGGCTAGGTGAGAAGTGGAGGACGGGAGTGGAGAGCGCATGAAGAAGGCAATGCAAGGTGTGGCACAGAGAGGGTGCTGGAAAAGAACGAGAGTAATGATGATCATGTGGAGGAGAACAAGTCCACCCTAAAGGACCCTGAAACTTCTTGAACACCCTGTATCTCCTAAACCACCCTCAAACTTCCTGGACCACTCTATAGCTGTCTGGACCCTGAAACTTCCTCAAAACACTTCCAGGAACGTCCTGAAACGTCCATGAACACACTGAAGCTTCCGAAAGCATTCTTCGCCGGATGGGCCTTTGCATTGTACGGATGATTCGACATGCAAGCCTTTAGCAGCAATCACTGGATCTCACAGACTGAAGGGATTCCCATGCATTTTGAGAAACCTCGAAATGCGGCTACACTAGCGGAATCTAAGCGTGGTGTACTCGCTCGGCCTACGAGGCAAGATTGGTCGCGGCTGGAGTGAGGATCTGAATGAGCCGAGGCTTTGAAGCGAATCGTCTCACCTCAAGGGCCGTAGGTGCAACAGCTGGGGTCGAGTTGCAAGCCACCAGCAGCAGGCGAGAATGTAGGGAGAATGGAGCCAACAAGGCCTGAGAAGGGCGAGCGACGCGAGAATGAGGATCTGTAGCGTTGCGGCCATGACACCAGAAGGTTTCGTCGTCGTTCTGGCGTCATTGATTCTGTCTGGAGTGACGCAATTGGTGTTTACGCTTCTCGATCCATCGGGACCGCTCGTGCCACGTGGCATGAGGGGTTAATCTGCTTAACGAGGGGTTGCACGAACGGAGAGTCGTTCCGCAAGGTTGTTACGATAGCGCGTCGCCATTGTCACAGCAGTTCGATGCGAAGCCTTACAATGAACGGGCCTACTACTGTGCGAGGCTGACTGCTAGCCTAGTACGAGTCTCCCACAAGTCAGGGTAGTGCTCTTTTTGTCTTTAATCTTTATGGAGAAATCATTTTATGAAACAGAAAGCGTCGACTGACGCACGACAGTTGCGGAGATTCCATACTTGAAATGCAGTCTGACACATAGCAATGAAGAAATTCCGAGTTCAGTTACAGGAGGAAGGATGAAACCATGTGAAATCTGCAAACAGCGGCACTATACTATGGTGCAGAACGGTTTCAAGCACACATTCAACCTTGAGAATGTCTCGAGTTTGACCCAACGGACACACGCCATGATGAAGCTTGGTCCTCGGGAATGTCGGAGGATAGGGTACCAGCGCCGCGAGATGACACGCTGACAGATCTGACAACTGGCCGAAAATCCGCCAATCCGCTTGCACCAGGACTACGTTTCATTTCGCTAACAGACGATGGCACCCACCAAAAAGTGCACAAAGAGCTATTCTTGATAGTGTTGTCACGCCTATAAAAATAGGTTTATTAGCGCTATACTTTTCTTTATCTGAAGATCCCTTTTTGTCCAGCCAAACTGCCTCTCTGCACTCTAATCCACAAACCTAAGAACCTTCGCTGTGCCTCCTCCACATAATTATAAAACTATCGACCGCTTCATATCTTGCTTCTATGTGGGACATGGGAAGCAGCAGCAGCAGGTGTACCTGTTCTAGGTGCACATTCCCAGATGACCTCCAACAGAGAACCATTACAGATTTCAGAGCTTGCTCCTATGTTGGCCCTGCAAAGAAGCAGAACCAGGTGCGCCTGCCCCAGGTGCAGCCTGTCTGGATCGGCGCTCCACGGCTCGAGACACCTCCCGGATGACCTCCTTGTCAAACACACGCGGCCGGTACAGCCAGCCCCCTCCGTCCACCACCAGTGTCGCCCCGTTCACATACTTCCCTGGCAGGTGCACGATGGGGGAGAGGGAGGGGGGTGGGGGATAGGGGGGCGGAGGGGGATAGGGGGGCGGAGGGGGAAAGGGTTCCAGTGGAAGAGAGGGGGGGGGGGGGGGGAGGGGGGGGGGCGTGTGGGGAGGGGAGGGGGCATGGGGAGGAAGTGGGGGGTGGGGATATTGGGAGGGGGAGAGGGTGAAACGAAGGAGTAAGAGCTTGCTTCTGCTCGGCCCTCTGAGGCGGAGGTAGGGAAGCGGCAGCAGCAGATACAGCTTGCCCCAGGTACAGCTTGCCCCAGGTACAGCTTGCCCCAGGTACAGCTTGCCCCAGATACAGCTTGCCCCAGGTACAGCTTGCCCCAGGTACAGCTTGCCCCAGGTACAGCTTGCCCCAGGTACAGCTTGCCCCAGATACAACTTGCCCCAGGTACAGCTTGCCCCAGGTACAGCTTGCCCCAGGTACAGCTTGCCCCAGGTACAGCTTGCCCCAGGTACAGCTTGCCCCAGGTACAGCTTGCCCCAGGAACTGTATCAGTAGAACCACACACCAGTGTCGGCTGTGAGATAGATTGCTGCCATGGCAATGTCCCAGGCGTCCCCCATCTGTACACGACACGACACCTGTATAAATCCACACGACTTGCCAAGAAATGGTGACGTGTATCAGCAGAATCACTCACCTGTATCAGCATGAGGCAGAGAGCAGCCATGGCAATGTCCCATGCGTCCCCCATACACTGCGTCCTCATGCATTGAGGTGTATTTTGAGGCGCCTCAAAATACACCTCAATGCACGCGGATTTCATACTTTTGAGGCGCCTCAAAAGAATCACTCACCTGTATGAGCATGAGGCAGAGAGCAGCCATGGCAATGTCGCATGCGTCCCCCATACACTGCGTCCCATGATCAGCCCAGCTGTATGCACCCACACAGCCCCTCAAGAGGCACTGTATCAGTAGAACCACACATCAGTGTCGGCTGTGAGATAGATTGCTGCCATGGCTATGTCCCAGGCGTCCCCCATCCTCTTCATCGGGTTGAGATCCCCGGCATCGATGCCCAGCTCTGACGGCGCTAGCTTTGCACCCACAGGACCTCTCAAGCCACACGTACCAGTATCAGCAGTGAGGTAAACAGCAGCCATAGCAATGTCCCACGCGTCCCCCATGCGCTGCATCGGGTTGAGCTCCCCGGCATCGATGCTCTCCCAGCTCTATGTATCCACAAGATTCCTCTAAAACCACTATATCAGCAGAAAAGCTTACCAGTTTCTGCAGTGAGGTAGAGGGCAGCCATGGCTATGTCCCAGGCGTCCCCCATCCTCTTCATCGGGTTGAGGTCCCCGGCATCGATGCCCAGCTCTGACGGCGCCAGCTTTGCACGCACAGGACCTCTCAAGCCACACGTACCAGAATCAGCAGTGAGGTAAACAGCAGCCATAGCAATGTCCCACGCGTCCCCCATGCGCTGCATCGGGTTGAGCTCCCCGGCATCGATGCTCTCCCAGCTCTATGTATCCACAAGATTCCTCTAAAACCACTATATCAGCAGAAAAGCTTACCAGTTTCTGCAGTGAGGTAGAGGGCAGCCATGGCTATGTCCCAGGCGTCCCCCATCCTCTTCATCGGGTTGAGGTCCCCGGCATCGATGCCCAGCTCTGACGGCGCCAGCTTTGCACGCACAGGACCTCTCAAGCCACACGTACCAGAATCAGCAGTGAGGTAAACAGCAGCCATAGCAATGTCCCACGCGTCCCCCATGCGCTGCATCGGGTTGCGCTCCCCGGCATCGATGCTCTCCCAGCTCTATGTATCCACAAGATTCCTCTAGAACCACTATATCAGCAGAAAAGCATACCAGTTTCTGCAGTGAGGTAGAGGGCAGCCATGGCAATGTCCCAGGCGTCCCCCATCCTCTGTGTCAGCGGAACAAGTTACCTGTCTCAGCAGTGAGGTAGAGGGCAGCCATGGCTATGTCCCAGGGATCACCCATGCGCTGCATCGGGTTCAGCTCCCCGGCATCGACTCCCAGCTCAGATGGCGCCAGCTTCGCCATGCCTGGCGTCGACCCTATCGGCCCCGGAGCTATCGCGTTGGTTCGGATGCCGTAGTCTGTGGCCCACTCGAGGGCTAAGGACCGGGTGGTTGCATCCACTGCAGCCTGGTTGGTGCGGTGAGGGAAGGAGATGGAGTGGGGGAGTGAGGGATGGGGAAAGGGGGTTGAACTGAAGGAGCCTGAAATAGGATCCTTTTTAATGCCGTGGTCTGTGGCCCACTCCAGGGGTAAGGACCGGGTGGTGGCATCCACTGCAGCCTGAGGTGGGGATGGGAGGTGTGAGGAAGGGAGATGATAGGTATGGGTTGTGCAAAGAGCATTGAGGACCCTGAAGTATAACCTGTTCCAGATGCCGTGGTCTGTGGCCCACTCCAGGGGTAAGGACTGGGTGGTGGCATCCACTGCAGCCTGTGACGAGGAGAGGGACGAAGGAGATGGAGTGGGGGAGTGGGAGATGGGTCCGTTTTGATGCTGTAGTCTGTGGCCCACTCCAGGGGTAAGGACCGGGTGGTGGCATCCACTGCAGCCTGTGACGAGGGAGCGAGGTGCGGATCCTCTGGTACGGGATGCGGGGGGTAGGAGACGGGGAGGGAGTCAGAGAGTGGGGGGGAGGTGGTAGACACGCACGGGTTGTACCTTTCAGGCGCCTCAAAAGTACTTTTCACCACTCGAGGGCTAAGGTCTGGGAGGTGGCGTGGCATCCACTGCAGCCTGAATGAAGATGAGGGCGTGCCATGGGGTGAGAGGTCAGGGCTTCACTGAACGAACCCAAGTTGTTGGAGTTGGTTTTGATTCCATCGTCTGTCTGTGGCATGGCCCACTCCAGGGGTAAGGCGCGCGTAGTGGCATCCACTGCAGCCTAAATGAAGATGGGGGCGTGCCATGGGGTGAGAGAGGTTAGGGCTTCATTGAACGAACCCAAGTTGTTGGAGTTGGCTGTAATGCCATCGTCTGTGGCATGGCAAGGCCCACTCCAGGGATAAGGCAGGCGTGCGTAGTGGCTTTTGAGTCGACTCAAAAGTCAACTGAGTCGACTCAAAAGTCACTCCAGGGGTAAGGAGCGCGTAGTGGCATCCACTGCAGCCTGTGATGAGGGAGGGTGGCATCACCACTCTACCTTACCCCACTCTACCTTACCCCACTCTACCTTACCCCACTCTCCCCTTACCCCACTCTCCCCTTATCCCACTCTCCCCTTACCCCACTCTCCCCTTACCCCACTCTCCCCTTACCCCACTCTCACCTTAGCCGCCATGACGTGCACTTGGTACCAAGCAGCAGTGTAATGCAGAGTAGCGCTGATGTTTATAATGGATCCGCCTCCCTCCTCCTCCGCCCTGCCTCGCGCCCCTCTCTGCAGGAATGGCCTGGCAGCCAAGCACATGTTGAACGTGCCCACTGCATCTATGTCAAGCACTGGGAGGGGCAGAAGCAACAGAAAGAGCGTGATGCATTCGGGCAAAAGGGGGTGGGTGGGTTGGTAGTAGCACCAGTACGGCAGGCAGGCACATGTTGAACGTGCCCACTGCGTCTATGTCAAGCACTGGGAGGGTGGGAGATAAGGACAATGAGTAACGGCAAATGAGGAGTAATTGAGGGACGGGTGGGTGGCACGACAGGAAGGGCCGAGCAGCCAGGCACATATTGAACGTGCCTACGGCATCTGTATCAAGCACTGGTAATGGGGAGTGAAGGCAAACAAACAAAAAGAAACGAGCAGGATAGGGAAGGACCAAGAGGAAACGGACAGTCAGCCTGGGAGGGTGGGAAACCATAGAAAAGAGGGGAAACGGACAGTCAGCCTCCTCCTCCGCCCTGCCACACACCCCCCCTCTGCAGGAACGGCCTGGCAGCCAGACGCATGTTGAACGTGCCTACTGCATCTATGTCAAGCACTGGGAGGAGACAGAAGCAACATCAGGGAAAAATAGGGTGATACATTAGGGCAAGAGAGGGTGGGTAGGGTTGGTGGCAACAGTCAAGCAGCCAGGCATATGTTGAGCGTTCCCACGGCATCTATGTCAAGAACTGCAAGGGAGTTGAGCAGTAGAAGCAACGGGAATAGAGCAGGGTGAATGAGGTGAGTGGGTGGCAGCCGAGCGGCCAGGCCCATGTTGAATGTGCCCACTGCGTCAATGTCTAGTTTTGAGACGTCTCAAAACGAGCGGCCAGGCCCATGTTGAATGTGCCCACTGCGTCAATGTCTAGTTTTGAGACGTCTCAAAACGAGCGGCCAGGCCCATGTTGAATGTGCCCACTGCGTCAATGTCTAGGACTGCGGGGGTGGAGGCAATGAGAAGAGCAGGATATGGAAGAGATAGAGAGAAAGGGGAAACGGACAGTCAGCCTCCTCCTCCGCCCTGCCACACACCCCCCCTCTGCAAGAACGGCCGAGCAGCCAGGCACATGTTAAACGTTCCCACGGTGTCTATGTCGAGGACTGGGAGAAGGGAGTGGAGACAAACAAACAAAACGAAAGAGCACGATAGGAGGGATGGGCCATGAGTGGCAGGAACGGCCGAGCAGCCAGGCACAAGTTGAATTTGCCCACAGCGGTCTATGTCAAGCACTGGGAGGGGATAGACGATTGAGATTGGATTGAAGGCATGAAAGAAGGGAAGGGAAGAGACAAATTGGAGCGCAAGTGCGTCAATAGACAGGCACATGTTGAGAAATGAGAATGCCCACGGCGCCAATGTCATGGGCTGGAAGGGCAGAGGCCCAACGAAGAAAGCGAAAAGACAGGAAAGAGGGGAGGGAAGCAACAGGAACGGACGGAAGGTGGGGGGGGGGAAGGGAAGAGAAGGGGAGGGGAGGGAAACAGAGAACCGGAAACAACGTGCTCTACGCCTCTCTGCGCATTTCTAATTTTCTACGCCTCTGTTTGCCTCTTCACGCCTCTATGCCCTCTCTGCGCCCCTCTGCCACTCCCTGGCCCTCTGTACACCTCTCCATGCCTCTCTGCACCTCTCTTTCCACCTCCAAGCCTTTAAGCCTGCCCACCTGTTCGGAAGCCGTTAACAGAAAGGTCTTCCGCAGCTGCCAGGAAGTTTCCAGCTGCACCATTGATGAGAACGTCTAGGCGGCCGTATCTCTCCACTGTAGCAGCCACGGCACTGTGTGCATCTTCTTTTCGCCTCACATCGCCCATGACAGGCAAGGCCTGAGATAACCAGGGTGAATTGGCAGTCAAACACACAAGGGAAAATTTTCAGCCGCGCCATTGATGAGAACGTCCAGTCGGCCGTATCTCTCCACAGTAGCAGCCACGGCACTGTGTGCGTCCTCCGTTCGCCTCACATCGCCCATGACAGGCAAGGCCTGCAGAATGGGTGATACATTGAACAAGAGAGAGTTTCAAGCTGCGCCATTGATGAGAACGTCCAGCCCGCCGTATCTCTCCACAGTAGCAGCCACAGCACTGTGTGCGTCCTCCTTTCGCCTCACATCGCCCATGATAGGCAAGGCCTGAGAAAAAGAGGGACGGTAGACAGGTGAGCGGCTTTGAGAGTCTGATTTTTGAGACGCTCCGAACCACAACAACACTCTGTGCATTATCCTTTCGCCTCACGTCGCCCGCGACAGGCAAGGGCTGAGAAAAGGGGGACAGTAGACAGGTAGCGGTTTTGAGACGTTCCGAACCACAACAACACTCTGTGCATCATCCTTTCGCCTCACGTCTGCCGTGACAGGCAAGGCCTGAAGCATGGGTGGTTATACAGACAAGGGAAAGCTGAGCCTGAGCAATCCCTGAGTGGTGGACTATCTCTGCGGATGCCTCTTCAGAGTAGTAGTCATCGCACTCTGAACGAGTTTTGAGTTTTGAGGAACCTAAAAAATCGTCATAAGTCGTCAGAAGTCTTCTAAGGCGCCTCAAAAGCTGAGCCTGAGCCATCTCTGAGCGGTCAACTAACCTTTGGAATATCTTCACAGAGTAGAAGCCATCACACCCTGAGCGTTGTCCTTACTTGGAGCCATATAACTGCAAACAAGCCTAGTTCTTACATGCCTCTAGACTATCTCATTCCGAGCTAATCCCATAGCTGGCAACCTCGATTCTTTCCTTCGAAAATTCGCCTGCTGCTGCTCTTCATGTTGCCTGAAGGCGAGTTTAACTCCTAAACGCCTCAAGAATATTAAGCCATAGCTGGTTACCAGGATTCCTTCCTTCGCCAGCTCGTCTGCTCCTGCTCGTTGCACTGCCTCTCTCCGACCCATGATGGTACCTTCGACACATCTCAAGACTCTGAGACTCAACCCACCTCGATCCCTTCCTTCGCCAGCTTGTCCGCTACTGCTCTCATACCGCCACCCTCATACCCATAACAAGCAATTCGCATAGCTGGTTACCTCGATTCCTTCCTTCGCTAGCTCGTCTGCTGCTGCTCGTAGCACCGCCTCCCTCCGACCCATGATGGCGAGCCTAGCGCCGTGCCTGCCAAACTGCCTCGAGATCTCCAAGCCTATTCCCGAGCCACCACCTGATAGTCACACACGCCGGTCGCATTTGACAGCAATAGCATTGCGGTGAACGGCAGCAGCAATCTCGGAAATCGCCAGCAAGGAGGATCAGCAGCAGCACGGTGAATCCCTTAGCTGAACAGCAAGGAATCAACAGAGATGCGTTCGAAAGCGAGCGCGGATCAAACGGTGAGGGAAGCGATAGAGGCAGTGAGACACGTTTGGTCACGACGTACGAACGGAATTGGGAGGCGAGCGATTTTAATAGGCTAAGGGAGTGAAGCATTCGGCGAATTCCGCTGATAGACGCAGTGAGTCGCGTTTGGGGACGGAGTACGAACGGAATTGGGAGGCGAGCGATTTCAATAGGCTAAGGGAGTGAACCACTTGGCTGATTCCGCTGATCAATCTGATTCCGCAACCAGTTGGAGGTGCTGTTGATATGAAGGGTAATCTGAAGGGCTCACCCGTTATCAGAACGATTTTCCCTCGGAGAACATTGGGTTTGAACGGGCTTTCCTGAGGCCCCATATCGAAGCAGCAAGCGGCCTATTCAATTTTAGACGGGACGCCGTGAACTGGGAGGAACGGAGATTTTACCCCTTGAGCTGAAAGCAAGGGAGGCTAAGGCTACTCCATGAACAAGCAAGGATGCCAAAGCAGCGAGTCCACAAGTGAAAGCACTTATGCTCACACCACAATGATGCAAGAGGTTGATCACAGGTTGAACACGGCGTTCTAGGATGCAGAACGATAAGATTCGTTTTGGAGTGGTGGGTAAAGTCGGTAAAGCAAATGGCCCATGTCCCAGTGGGATGTTTGATGGAGCTGAGGGGGGTCTTCGATACTGCTGAAAGTTGTGTACAATAATGTGCACTCCATTCCACTGTTCATGTTTGGAGTTATGAAGAAAAGCTAGCAGAAATTGAAGGCACCTCTCACGAGTGCCATTGAGTGAGCGAACAAGGATTGCACGATCTAACCAAACAATACATTGAGCGAAGGAATGAATGCGTTTTATATAGCGAACTAGCGGGGTAGGGTAACGGTCAGGCCCTACGATATCAGGAATTTTTCCCTGAAATTCCTGATTTCCAGGGTTTTTTTTTAACCTACACTGATTTTCCAGTGTTCAGCTTTTTGTGGGGCTGATTTTTCAGCCTTCACCTAGCACATGACTCTGAACTTTCAGCAAAAAAAAATTAGTGACACTGATTCCACTACGTTGTAACGAATCCGACCCTGAAAGCGATTCCTACACGGTTCGTGTGTAGTTGCCCGGCTGTACAGGGAATATCAGATTCCCGCGGTGTCAGCAGGGCGTGGCGGTGAGTAGCAGACAAATTTGCCTCGTAGAGGGATGCGTTGTTGGCGCGCGTGGTGCGATGATTGGCCACTTTGACAGCATTTCCTGATTTGGCCAATTACAGGGTTGCAGCACAGCGATGCTGGCAGGCAGCGCAACGAGGGATTCAGGCCCATGTGAAGCATCTGTGGTCCTCTGGCCCGTTTTGTCTAAGTCGTGCTGGCAAGCACGGATGCATCCATGCCGCCCAGCCGTGCTGCCAGCCATCCAGTCTCCCACCCCAGTCTGCTCCATGCTTTCCTTCCATCTAGCATGTGTAAGGTTTCATCGCGTTGCTGCCTGGTGTACCTAGAGGCAGTCAGCCGTGTGTCCTCTCTTCCTGGCAAACCTCCATCGTTCAGCTAGCTAGGGAGTCCCGTTAGATGCTGCTTGTTCACAGCGCAATCAATGGCGGACCACCCGGACGCCATTGAACGACCTGATGACCCCGGCGATGAACCCGCTCGTCGTTCGCCAATTGATCTGTCCGCGGCCGTTACCGGGCTGGATCTGCTATTCTCCAACTTAGCGGCAGTAGATAACCATGGAAAGCCGCCTGCAGTCGCGCCGACCGTCGATGTTCCATTTGAACCCATCGACGAGCCTCTGTGTCCCTCCCCTACTGCGCCCGTGTTGGAGCAAGACAGCTCCAACCCTTCAGGTGAAGAAATCGCGGCGGTGCCAGTGGCTAAGAAGTCCGCCAGGTACATGCAGTCAACGCTGCCGTGGCCCAAGAAGGGAGGTCCCGCTGGTGCAACACCGGCTTCGCCAGCCGACCAACTGTCGACGCCCGCGACCGCAGGCACGCAGGCGTCGCCCTCAACACCTGGGCCTTCTAAACCGGCAGGGCCAGACGCAACCTACGCGGAGGCTCTGTATAAGTACAAAAGCGAGTGGCTCGAGCGGTTTTCTTGGCTTATTCTGCTAAAAAAAGCTGACGGTTTCCCCGCTTTCAAGTGCAGCATCTGTACGGAGCACGCAGGCTACGCTGGACCGTGTGGGAGAGGCGGAAAGGGCGCCACAGACGTTCAGACGCAGGCGTTCAAACGGCATGCGGCAACTACCAAGCACAAGGAGGCGTTGAAACACCAGCAGAAGCTTCTCGACGACGCCGCTACGCAGCCACGGATCAACGGCGACAATCTCGCTCGCGACACGGAGAAGGAGCGGGTCGTCAAGCTCCTCGACTCCCTGCTCTTCGTGACCAAGCAAGATGCACCCATAGAGTTATGGGTGAATCTTGTGCGCTACCTCGCGCGACTCAAGGTGCCCGGGTTCCCAGCAAAAGGCTACGGAACCTATTATACTACGTGAGTGTTGAATTAATCTAACTGCAACCGTGTTTGTGAAACTCAACCGAATTATCTGACGTTGTGTTGTTTGACATGCGCTGCAGCTACGGCTTCGGGCAGCTGACACAGTCGATGGCCACATGGTTGCACACAACGCAACTGCAGCACATCCTCAGCAGCCCATACATTGGCGTCACGTGCGACGAAAGCACGGACAGGTGTCGGGGAAAGCATATGATTGTTTTCGCGACATTCATCCGTGAAAATCGTCCCGTGACTGAGTTCCTTGCCCTGCTGACCGTGGAGAAGGGCGATGCAGCCTCTCTCCTCTCAGTGCTCTTGTCCCACCTGCAGGCCCTAGGCATTGAAATGGCGAGGATATCCGGCATAAGCACTGACGGAGCGAGTGTGATGATGGGGAAACACAACGGCCTTGTCGCTCGACTTCGCCTCCGCATCCCGCATCTTGTTTCGAGCCACTGCATCGCCCACAGGTCAGTTTTCATCTTCTGTTTACTGCTTCCATACAGTCCCTGCTGCATCCCCTGCTAACCCCTCCTTGAGCCGGTTTTAATGCTGGTGTGCATGCAGGGAGGCCCTCGCAGCAAAGGACGCCGCTGAACAACTCCCCGAGTTCGGCATGGTGGACTCCCTGCTCCGCCAAGTGGCAGAGCATTTGGGGCGTTCTGGCCCGTGGCATCAACGCTTCATTGGCCTGCAGGAGGTGTTCACGAAAACAAACCTGGAGCTACAAGGGATCCACGACGTCCGCTGGCTCTCCCGCGGTGACGCCATTCTGCGTGCGGTAGAGGTCTTCCCCGCGCTGATCGTGATGCTGTATGAGTGGGACATCACCCTCTACGAGCTCGCCACGAGCTACAGGTTTCACTTTCTGCTATACTTCCTTGCAGACGTCCTCGAGCAGCTCAATGTGCTGAACAGGGCATTCCAGCAGCGTGAGGTGAGCTTGGTTACTATCGTTGCTGGATTGTGTGCCTTGTTTCAGTTTGTGAGTCACTGTTTGATGTACTGCTTAAGCAGAATCTGCTTTGCACTGATTTGGCCTTCTCTCCATCCTCTGTTCGCCCTGTTGACCCCTAACAGCTGGACATTGCAAGTGTCCACGGGCAGATCCGCCGGTCGATTTCATTCCTAGAGTCCCGCTACGTCGACTGTGGTGACGACTTTGGAGGCGGGGTGAGCGCGCGCCTCTCCCCGTTCATCAAGAAGCACGGGCCTGAGGGGGGCAATCCCGAGGTGAAGGTGCAGGGAGTCGATTCGGACGGGCGGCCCACGACACACACCTTCGAGCTGCACGAGAAGCCGAGCGAAGACTACCCGACCCTCGGCTCCCACGACGCCTGCGTCGATCTCTGCACCACCTTCGCCGAGACGCTCGTGCAAAACCTCAGCACACGGTTCCAGGACCTGGACTCCTTGGTGGGAGTGCGGCTGTTCATGCCTGACGAGTGGGAGCTGGGGAGAGCAGAGCGCCACAGGCAGTGTCTCGAGTGGCTCGAGTCTCTCGTGAGGCTGTTCAGGGCACAGGACACGGACTACATCATTCCAGGTATTCCCGCTCTCGCACTGTTGCTGTCCGTCTTATTGTGTCATTGCATTTCATCAACGTATGGTGTACGCACTTGCCAGCCTTTCAAAAACCCCCTCTCTCTCTCCCTTCCGCATTATGTGGCAGGGGTCGACAAGCGGCGTGCGATCAAGGAGCTGCGGGCCTTCTGCCCCATCCTCGCAGGTGCCCCGAAGAACGAGCGGAGCTTCCACGCAGGCCTAACAGCAATGCTGAAGACAATCGACTGGGCGACTGGCTACCCCAATCTGGTGCGTCTCTGGGTGGCTGTCGCCGTGCTGCCGCTGAGCACAGTGGAGTGTGAGCGCGGCTTCTCACGCCAAAACGTTATCAAATCGTGGCAGCGGGGGAGCTTGAAGGACGCCCGCCTCGAAGACCTCGTCACCATGTCTCTACTCGAGTACGAGCCCAACTACGATGAGGTGGTGCAGATCTGGCGCAGCTACAAGAAGCGCCGCCCATTCGGCAATGTGGCGGCACCACCCGAAAGAGAGGGAGAGGGCAGGGATAGCACGGGAAAGGAGGCCCTAGAGGAGGAAGAGTGGGCAGAACGACAGGCTAAGGGAAGAGAAGATGATGATGACAAGCAGGTATAAAAGTCTTGACCGTTAAAAGGCATTGTCGTTTTGATTTTCGTTGGATTTGCAGAAGCGGGAGTATAATTTCCGGTCCCGTCAGCTGATTGTAGCTGATAAAGTGATGGCACTTGTGACCCTTGTAGTGTTTGTTGTCCTTGTCCAGCAGGACCAAAAGAGAAGGAGTTGTTCGACCCATCACTTCCTTGTGGCATCTGACCACGCTGATAACTGGAGCCATCAATGCTCATAGGAGTTGGAAACATCTGGTTAAGCGACAAGACGGCAGCATTAACACGTTGTTGAAGATTTGCTGGCTGGTAAGCACCTTGATATTGATAAGGTCCAGTCGGTACGAAGTTGGACTGTTGTCCCGGTTGACTAGAAGAACCAGTGACTGCAGCTGCAGCTGTTGTGGCTGCTGATGCTGCTATTGCTGCGGCTGCTGTCGATGATGCCGCTGCTGTAGTTGCGTGTACGGGCTGATTGCTCAATGGCATGCCGTACATCGGTTGTTGCTGATATTGTTGTTGTTGTTGTTGCTGCAGATGTGAATTATCAGCAGCTGGAGACGCTGTTGGGCGTGATGGGTGTTACAATAGGAGCTCAGGCTAAGAAGCCATGGCTAGGGTTTAGGGTATATGAAAGAGAAATAGGAGAAGAGGGGTTTCACTAGCAGCAATGAGGATACATATAGCAAACCCTAGATGGGTTGTACTCGCTATAGAGCA